CTCCTCTTGTAGAGTTTTTGATATTGTTTTTAACATGTAATTTTTATTTTTTATTAATATATCAATTTATAAATAAAATAATTTTAAAAATCATAAAATTTCATAATTTTTATTTTATACTTATTCAAAATAGAGATGAAGGGAATATTTTGTTTTTTACACAATAATACTTCTTTTCAAAATTGGTAAAAAGAAAGCATACTTCTTGGGCCCAACAAAACTAGGGTCCCCTTTGGGGTGAGACAGGGTAGCACAAGGCGAGGTGAAAAGTTAAAAACTTAAACCAGATCATTATCACTCTGTAATTACTTTGGAGTATTATTACAGGAACTAGTATAATTACGCTTAAAGAAATGATTGTTAGGGAGTAATTAAGAGGCCGTAAACTCCATTGTTGGCCAGGAAGCTTCTATATAAACACAGCTGGTGCGATGAAAAAGAAGACCCAGAGAAGTGAGGCCGAGAGAGATACACACACAAACCCACTTTATCTTTTCCCTCACACTCGCACACACTTCACAAACACAAATCAAGCCCCTTTTTCTCTTTTCTTCCCTTTCAAAAATTCATCTTTCAATCTTATGATATTGATCAATTTTAAGTATTTTTTTGGGGTTTCAGTTCCCCTGTTTTGAGAAATCAAGATCTGATTTTTTCATTATAAATTTTCTCAGTAGTTTCTCCGGTCAGATCTGCTCGGAGGGCTTATTTGCTGTCCCTCCGGCGTTTGATCTGTAGAATTTAAAGGGGAAAAAAGGCTAAGGGGGTTTCTTTGTTATTTGAGAACCTCTGGTTTCCCGTTTCTTCTTGAAATTTTAACTTGATTTTGTTCCGAACAGAGCTTTCATGGCGGCTACCTTGGATCTGTGGAGTAGTGTCGGCGTAGATCTCCGTTCTTATGAGCAGCCTTTTCATGGCGGCGGGGATCTCATGGACGCGCTTGGGCCTTTTATGAGAAGCGCGTCGCCCTCACCTTCTTATTCATCATCATCATCATCTTCTTCTTCGTATCCTTCCACTTCTACACCGGGGTTCGAAACTGGGTTTTCGGGTTGCGAGATTGAGCAGTTGGGCTCTATTGGGCTCAACCCGCTGACGACTGTCCAGATCAACCAGATCCAGACCCAGATCGGGCTTCAGGCCCAGCAACTGTTGGGCTCTTCTCCTTCTTCTTCTGATCGGATCCAGTGGGCTCACCGTGTTCCGAACTCGAGCTTTCTGGCGCCGAAGCCGGTCCCCATGAAGCCGACCGCGGCGGCGCCGAAGCCGGCGAACCTGTACCGCGGCGTCAGGCAGCGGCACTGGGGCAAGTGGGTCGCCGAGATCCGCTTGCCGAAGAGCCGGACCCGGCTCTGGCTCGGAACCTTCGACACGGCGGAGGAGGCGGCGCTCGCCTACGACAGCGCGGCGTACAAGCTGAGAGGCGACGCCGCTCGCCTCAATTTCCCGAACCTCCGCCACAGCGGCTCCGTCATCCGTGGCGAATTCGGCGAGTTCAGGCCGCTCCAGTCCAACGTCGACGCCAAGCTGCAAGCCATCTGCCGGAACATGGCGGAGAACGGCGGCGTCGCCGATTCAAGGAACCCGAAGCCGAATCCGACGGCGCAGCTGAGGAAGCCGAAGGAAGAGGCCGCGTCTGAAGATCTCAAGAGCAGTCTGGCCGGGGAATGTGGGTCCGAGAGCTACGGGTCGGATTCCGGGTCGTCTCCGCTCTCGGATCTAACGTTCCCGCAATTCGCGGAGGAGGAGTCCACGTGGGACATGTGTTCGGATCTTCACAAATACCCGTCCAATGAGATCGATTGGGAATCGCTGTAAAACGTCTCGAACTTCTTTTTCTTTTTTTCTTCTTTTTTTCTTAGTGGTCCAGGTGGCATGTGATGACGTAAGGGTGGGGTCCAGCTGCATGATGTTTTTTGAAAATGCAGAGTGGTTATTTACTGAGTCAGTCCTTGTATTAGTTAGTATTGTAAGTTAGTACCCCAAACTGGGTGGCCAGTGGTTTTTGTCTTGGCCGGACCAGGGAATCCATGGTTCGTTTTGTTGCTGTCAATATTTATGTTGTTTTTGATGTTGTACTTTCTCTCCCTCCCCTAAATAAATCTCACTTTCATTGTTCATATATTTAATTTAAATTACTGCTCTGCGTTTTTTTTTTCACTTTTTACTTTTTTATGGAGTATGCTAAAATATTCATTACCGTAAATCACATATGTAATGGTGTTGATGTGTATTTGAGGATGAAGATAATTGTTTTTCAATCTAATCTCCAACTAGACTTGATTTATTCTGGAATGTTTTATTACTTCCTCCGTCCCATTTTAAATTACATGTTTATCTTTTTTCTCCGTCCTAAAATAAGTTGTTAGTTAGTTGTTTTTTTAAACTTTTAAAAATAAAATACCTAAACTACCCCTAAAATAAGTCACTCTTCTTTACCTTATGTTTTCATTCATTATCACCCCTTCTAAAAAGTAATGACAATTTCGGAAAATCAACTCTATTTTTTATTTTCCTTAAATATGCCCAAAAATCAAAATATGCGATTTAAATTGAGACGGAGGGAGTATTATCTTTACTAATAACAAAGTGAAAAAGATATTCAATTCGTCTCAATTTATATTGTTTGTTTTAGTTTTACGATATTTGATTGAAATTATTTTTAAATCATTTTATATGAAAATGATGTAGAATTAAAAGATAAAAGTAATATACTAAAATACCACATCAAAAGTTCTACAAAATTAGTGGTAATATAATTATTTTTTTTATCAAATGAGTAACGTAAATATTAAAAAAAAATGAATGAAATATAACACTATAAGGCCATTTCCAATAGTATACACTAAACTCAATCTCGAAATGCAGTAAATATCAAATCAAACAATAGTTCATCTCCAATCCATTACACTAAACTCGAACTCAAAAAAAAATATTCTCACCATATATTAATTATCTCTATACTTTTTATATTTTCCAAATATTACCAACTTATTTATCTATTTTGCTTTTCATGATTTACTTTTAGTATTACTCCGTACAATAATATTATACATTTTTAGTGAAATTTCAATATTTTTATTAAATTGAGTAATTTCATTCTTTAAGTTTATTGTTAAAGTTAACTTTTTATTATACTCGATACATCAAAAACAAAGCAAACAGACTCAAATTCGAGTTTGTGAGGAGTATAAAACTCAAAAAGAGTTTGGATTTGAGGCACCATTGGAGATGTTGAACACTAAATCTTAAAAAATGCATATATGTTGGAGATGGAAACATGCGTAATTAGAATTATAATATATTCAATACATCAAAATATAACTTTCAATGTGATTAAATCAAAATACTACCTCGGTCCCATTTTATAACGTCTGTTTCGGTTTACGATGTTTGACTGAAATTATTTTCAAATCATTTTATATGACAAATGGTATAGAATTAAAAAATAAAAATTACATATTAAAAAACTACATCAAAAGATCTACAAAACTAGTAGTGACAATAATATTTTATTTTATCAAATTGCTAACGAAAATAGAGAAAGAAAGTGAATAAAGTTTAACCCTGTGAATAGTAAACAGGCATTATAATTTGGGACGGAGGGAGTAGCATTTATAATGCTAAAGAGTATCTATATATAGTTAAGATAAGATGCTAAATCATAATATTACGTAGCAATTTTTCTATTTCAAAGAGAGAACTATAAGAGACTATTTTGATTCATGTTTAATGTTTTGTTAATCTTATTTAACTAGATTTGTTTATTAAAAAATATTCAATCGGTAATGCTATAGTTTTGGTCTCATTTTAATTCGAACCTCCATGAGAATGATAGGAAAATTCTCCTTTAACTTGCTACGATTATATACTCTCCTTTCTAATACTCGAAAAAGCCTCTATATTTTAGTATAAGTAAGGTCAAAGGACTCAAAGCACACCCACCACCCAGACATTATTTTTGTAGGACATGTTTTGGCCCATACCTAAAGTTCAATTGCAAAAATTGAGTTGAAACTATTTTTTGTTAAATTTATTTAAATAATCATACAAATTTTGAATTAAAATTTATAGATTCATGTTGAATATTTCATTCTTAAAATAAGAAGTGATATGACTACTGCATATTACTCTAACTAAGTACAAAAACTCTAGTTTCGGGACGAGAATATTTTACTTTCTATTCAAGTTATATCAATGACTTCTATAATTTTAAATTTTCTACATAAAAAAGAGGAACACTTTATTACTCTCTCCGTTCCTAATTAAATTACATGTTTACTACTGAAAAGGCCAAGCTTCTTTCACTTTCTTTCTCTATTTTCGTAAATTGTTTCATAAAATAATATAATTATGTCACACTAGTTTTGTAAATTTTTTATCTAGTTCTGAAATATGTAATTTTAATTTTTTAATCATACACAATTTTTTATTTAAAATAATTTCAAAATAATTTCAGTTAAATAACATAAATCGAAACAACCAATTTGTTTTTAAACCCAAAATACTTCGATGTCTCCAACAATGTAAATACTAGGCACATAAAAAAAATTATTTTGAATGAGGGTAATACTTTTTTCTTCAATTAAAAAAGGCAAAACTTCTAGAAACATACGCATACCTATAGAAATATGCTACAATCACACTCCCTCAGTCCCAAAATAAATTGTATGTTACTTGTTATCATAAATTTTTAAAAATAAATACCTAAACTGCCCCTAAAATAAGCCACTCTTCTTCACCTTATCTTCTCATTCATTGTCACCCTTCTTAAAAAGTAATAGCAATTTCAAAAAATCAACTTTATTTTTCTTTTCCTTAAATATGCCAAAAAGTAAAAACAGACAATTTAAAACGAAAGGGAGTACCAAATTTGACACAATGTGTTTCACTTCGATGCATGTTCGTGAAACACATGATGTCAAACTCCGGTGTGAACATTGATTTAACCTTGCCCGAGTGGCCCGCAGATCAAGTTAAAGTTCAAGATTTGGGAGACCAGAACGAAAAATCACCAAAGCATGTGCCCACCACTACTACGAGTGGGACTTCCTCCATGAAAGTTGAAATTACACTAAAATGATGAAAAATAGAGAATGTGAATAACATTATACGGTGTATAAATCAAGTACGGTGGCACGAGCGGAACCACAAAAATAAAAAACTGAGACAAGAATCAGAGATTTATGTGCTCTCAAATAACTTCAAACACCAAACCTTCGTTCTTTGAAATCATCCAATGACGGTGAACATGGAGAAGAAGACGACAATAATATTCAAGATCGGGTTTGAGCTCCTTTGTGTTTTCCCCTCTAAGAATGGTCTGCTTGAACCAACCACAGGCGTGTAATCAGTGAACAAAATAACTGGTCCAAACCTGACAAACAAAACATATAGCAGAAATCTGTCACTCCACAACGCATACTTACCATCTTTAATCATAATTGGCAGTGCCTCTCCGCTCGTAAAAATTACTACGGCTTCCACGTCTAGAATGTCCCGTCTCTCTATATTTTGGTGCAGCATTTTGAGAGCTAAATGCTGCTGGAACACCAGAGTTGCCTGACTTATTATTGTGTTGTCCAACCGGCTGATATTCATAATGCATGTTATTGCTGTTGTTTTTATTATTGTTATTGTTATTATTATAACGTCGCATTTCCCGGTTATCTTCAGGCCCAGCAGACCAATCTTCGCTTGATTCTCCCCCACCCCTACTAATGTGGTGGTGGCTTTGTGTGCCGCCCCTTCTGAACCCTGAGGAGGTAAAGCGCCGGCTGTGTTGAGTTTCAGCGGGGAAATCTTCATCATTCAAGCCAACAGGAGGAGGTTGGTTCGGGGAGAATGGTCTCCCTCCTCTGTATGAATGTTGGTTTCCCTCTCTTCTAGGCTCCTCCCACTTCTGTGAATGTTGTTTTCCCTCTCTTCTAGGCTCCTCCCACTGCTGTGAATGTTGCTTTCCCTCTCTTCTAGGCTCCTCCCGCTGCTGTGAATGTAGTTTTCCCTCTCTTCTAGGCTCCTCCCGCTTCTGTGAATGTTGCTTTACCTCTCTTCTGGGCTCCTCCCGCTGCTGTTTCACATAAACCTCATCCTGAACTTCATTCTGATTTTCACAATGTGGAGGAGCATTCACGTAAGATTTTGGTTTCCAATGAGACACAGTAACACGGTTTTCTTTAGCACCAACTGCTGTTTTGTCCATCTCCTTTGTCTCCTGCACCACCACCGGTTGACTGTGATTTCTTCCAGTCTCACTGTTTCTACTGTTTCTGCCATTATCAGACCTAGCAGCTTTTACTGTGCTTTTATCACAGTCTTGTCTGGTAGAAGAACTCAATTTACCTTTGCCTGTAGTGCTGCCTACTTCATCTACAGTTCCGAAAGACACGTGTTGTGCTCCTGTATCAATAGGCATCCCCCAACCATCTAAATTACTGTCCGCATTTACAGAAACTGTGTGAGTTCCAAAAGTGAGTGACGTGTGGTGTTGATGACCACTTGCCTGCTGGGCCATCTCTTTTGCAATGGGCTTTGGAACGTACCTCTCCATTTCAGCCCGCTTGCTTTTACTCGAATTATCATGACTACTCCGGTGCATCACATTGTCACCCATTGTGGGGGTAGTATGATCATCAGGTAGGACCTTTTTCTGACTGGATTCAATGTCAGAAACATGTTTGGCCTGTGGTTGCACTGGAGCCCACACGACAGCATCACTTCCATGTGATTTATCCCCAAATCGATTACCACGTTGATTTCTTGATATCCTGTGAGGGTGCTGAGGCTTTCGCTGATCATTCACTCTGCCATGGCCCTCTTTGCTCAGAGTGTGAGGCTCTGAAATTTGCAGTACATTGTCACTCTTTATTGTTGCCCGAACAGAGCTTATAACTAAAACTTCATTCTCAGAGGATTTTCCAGTTGTACTGTCTGCCTGCATTGCAGTGGGAAGTGAAGCAGCTGGGATAGACCGTGTGTCATCCATCTTCTGCTTGTTCTTACCATTCCTATTGCCTTTCTTTCTCTGTTGCAAACCGGACTCTGTCAATGTACTGATAGCGATAGGATTTTTTGACTCACCACCAAGAATGTCACCATCGGTTGACGCATCAGAATAATTCTTTGGAGGGTCACTAGTACCCATTGATGGAGCTGATGGTCTGTTCAGATCTTTATGAATGGCAACATTCTGCCTTTGCTTGTGGCCAGCAGTACGTTTATTATGTATGTCACTGGATGGGAGGGTTGGCTGCTTGGCACTGGCGGTGTTGAGATCTTCTTGACGTGTCAAAGTCGGGCTGTGTTCGATCATAGGTTGAAAGACAGCTGTTTCATCACCCTGGCTAGGGAGGGAGACATTCTGCCTTTGCTTACTATACCTGTCACTGGGTGGGAGGGTCAGCTGCTTGGGACCAGCGAGGCCAAATTCCTGCTGATGTGTCAAAGTCGGTCCCTGCTCAATCATAGGTTGCAAGTCAGCTGTTTCATCTCCTTGGCTAGGGGGGATGCGCTCATTTACTTCAACAACGTCATCAGGTTTTGTGGATAGAGGTTCATCAGGTGATTCAATAAGTGCACACTGTACATGCTCTTGCTTGGCCTTTTCAGACTTCTGAGTTGAAGAAGCATCATCTCCTCCCTGCATACGGCGATTCAATTCCTCAAGTTTAGCAAGAGCCTTGGCTTTCTGCTCCCTAGTACGTTCTTCCTCTTCTTTCCGTAGCTGTAAGGCACGCTTCTCCAACTCTTCCTTTTTAGCACGCTAATTGAACATTTAGAACAATTTAATAACACAGTCTCATAGTTTTAAAAGGATACAGTAGTCACTCATGTTCCACATCTTGCAGGTTGATTTTACCATAGCAATCTAGTATGGAACATGTGCTTATAACAACCATCTCATTTTACAACTATCACATGACATTTTTCATGCAAGTTGAGATGACATACGATGACAACTTTTCAAATTCCAACTCTTTATTCCTTTGTAAGGAGACTTAGACTTATCTCATATTTGGTCGAAATGGCCATTAGGTAAGCATTATGTAGTTGAAACTTTGAGCTAGTTTGGAAAGGGTTATCTGGTTCGAACTTTCATCCATACAAGTGAAAGGCTACTTATTCTTGTTAATCTGCTAAAGCAGAATAACTGAATAAGTCAAATAAAATACAACACAGGGCATTTACCTTTACTTTTTGCATGGATTCATAAGAATAAGTGGTTAACACACGTTGACAAGTAATTAAGGTGATGCTGATGAATATAATGACTAACAATGATACCTGTGTCTGGCCATCAAATGATTCAGGCATGAATTCTTTCTCATCCTTTTCCTGTGCACTACTTAAGGTATGTTTCATATCCTCAATTTGAGGATATGAGATATTACTTTGCACACTAGAAGAAGGTACAGTACTATGAGATGCGCACATAGAAGAACATTCAGCAGAAAGAGGTTGCTTTCGCCAACCGTCGTCATGATGATTAAACTTGGCTTTAGCAGGATAATGATCACTTCTACCTTGTGTTCCATGATAGCTTGTCCTGAAAAAGTTGAAGAAGACTTTAAGGGAATGAATAAGGATCAATACAGAGATATAAACGAAGACAGAGAGACTACCTTGAGATGTCAGAGGCATGGGTGGTTTCAAAATGCTTAGATGAGCTTCTGGATTCATCACCTATAAAATTGTCAACCTTGGAATTAACATATGCCCTACTTTGTTCGTCACTTCGTGGATCAAAATGGCTTTCATGACCACGAACTTTTGCATTCAAACCTTCAATCTTCTTCATTAAATTTGATTCGTTGCCCGCAACTGCCAAAACTGGACCTCTTTGCATAGTCATTTTATGAGTGGACTCTGTAGTTACTGATCTTCCAACCCAATTGTCTGGAGCTGTCCTTACATTGTCCAAACCTTCTACAGATTTGAATTTAACATTATCTGAAAAATCACCTCTTTGATTATCAACATCCTGTAAATTAGAGTTTTCAATCATTGCTTCATCACTACTGCAGACTTCCCATTCATTCTTCATTCCCCCAGGCTGAAACCTCCTTTCTCCATGTACAGTAATAGCAGGTGTGGGCCATTTTCGATCCTCTCCCCCAACTCCACGATCACATTCACCGTGATGCTTTAGAAGAACTTTATATGGCTGTCGAGCGCAATCAGGATGAGCAGGTTCTCCATGTTCCTGCAAGAACGTGTTATTGGCACCGCCATGTCTAGCTGCTCTGGCATGTGAATGGTTTGCATCTTGAACATTTGGCGCTGGATATCTATTCAAAACAGCAGGCCCCGTAGGCATGCCCATAAGTGAAATATCCCGCTCACTGGAATTGTAATACCCCATAGGCGGTCCATAATATCCCTCAAAAGCTACTGGTCCGGGGTAATATCCAGGCCGAAATGGCATACCGGGGTGAATACAAGCGTCTGGCATCTGTGCCCTATATAAATCATTACTTCTTGGGTGGGACCCTCTAGGACCATGCCCTTGAGAAGGCACTGGCTGTGAATTGGCTAGGTGGGGGATTTGGTGGGGCCCGTAATACGGATACTGTTCAAATTGAAATCCACCCGGACCAACATGGGGTCCATAAGGAGGTGCTCCAGGATGTCCCCTGTACCAAACACCAGTTGGAGGAGGCATAGGACCATGCCATGCATCAAAATGTTGAGGGCGAACATCAGAATTAGAAAACTGGTGGGGATCCCCTTGCCACACGTGCGTGCCATTATCAACATGCTGGGGGCCATCTCTTCTCCACGTATCAACTTCTCCATTTTGGAAGTCATGCTCTATTAGAAGGATGTTTTGACATAAGACACAAAGTATAATTGTAACCCATGAAAACAATATGTATTATACAAACCAGGGTCAGCTCCATCAAACTTCCCCATGTCATGTGAGAGTTTATCAGAAGGTGAGCTAGGAACACCGTGAGAGTTATGATCTATGATAAAATGATCATGTTTAAACAAGAGCAAATACATGTCAAAGATACTCAATGTATTCCATTATTCTATAAGAATCTTTTTTTAAGAATAAGATGAACATATAGCTAAAACTAAAAATATGCACGATAAGGAAAAACAGCAACTCACCTTGTGGCTCACTCGTCTTCTCGCGATTATCTTTTTCAGAACCAAGACTAGGAAAATCCCCAGAGCTTAGAGAAAAGCCGTCGTTTTTAGCGTTTAAAACCGCCTGAAAGTTTACAAACATAATTCAGACTCGACAATACTTTACGCAGTCAATGCAACTAAATCAATAAAAATGTTTAAGAAAATATCATAAATTTTATGTGTTGCAAATTTGAATAATGAAGAACAAAGCCTCTAATGTGTATTCATAAACAATACGATATGTCAAAGCAATGTGAAAAAGATCATTAAAGTCCATATGGATAAAAGCACATTGGTTGTGTTATTATTAAGGGTTAGGAATGGCAATAAAAATAAAACAAATAGTATTCTTAGCACTGATTCTTAGTCAACTATAAATACCAATAGACTAAGGAATTCATGAACTGTGGTTCCCTTGATGTTATATTGTTATGTGGTTAACTTGTTATTAGACTTGAATGTTGAAGAAAAGAAAACACAAACGAGACACAATAGTAGAGTCACACTACTCTTTGGTTAATGCTAAGGGACATAAATAACTGCAAGACTCAGAAAAAAATCCATGCAACAAAAAACCATACCAATCGCTCTGCAGAAGAACCAGGTCCCCATGCTGTTTGAATGTTTGAGCCGGATTCTGCAAAACGTGAAAGTTGTGAGCTGCCAGGCCTAGGCTCTGCGCTTCGCGGGCGTAAGGATGTCAATGATGCTTGACTCGAGGATAGTGCACCAGAGGCCGAAGATGGCCGAGAATTCGAAGTCCATGCACTCATACTAGGTTCATGTGTTTTATCACTACCAGCAGTAGATGGTCTACTCGGTAAGCTAGTGCCACCATCAGCATTTGGGGACAATGTGGAGGAAGTCCATGCATTTAGAGTCGACGATGATGTTTTACTTCCCCAACTGAGAGTTCCCCTGATGTAGACAACAAAGGTTGAAACAAAAATAGGTAAAGGAATAACACCAAAGGGACTATTCTTTTCAAAGAGTCTAGCAGGGTAAAAATTTCAAAACTAGTGCCATTTTTGCTTTGGTAACACCGCAAACATGGACAGACAACAAAATGTATAGAAAAATGTAGTATAAGTACTCACTTAGGAACAATTTCAACACCCGGGTCCTGTCCATGGTTCTCTAATCTGTATAAGTACATGAGCAGGAAGAATTTTAGAAAGACCCTTGCAAGAGAATCAGAAGACAATATATACAGTAATAACATACCTTTGACTTGGTAAGTTCAAGGGTTTAGGAACAGCAACTTTTCCAAGGACGGTGAGGCCACCTCTCCTAGCAGAAGTAAACCTTTAATGAAGTAAAGGGACATCGCTGTTAGGAAATTACAAATTACAAAAAAAACATGTAATGCACAGTGCAACTTCAAAATCTTGGTATCATATGATTATATGAAAACTATGTGTGAGAATGATTTCCCTGCTTCTCTTTTTAGGATGCCCGAAAATGATCTTCCCATTTCTGTTTCTCCTTTTTACTGTCCCTTCACTTTTAATCATTACTCCTTCCGTCCCAAATTAGATTGCAATTTCTTATCTATGAGGCAAACCTCCACATTTTTTAAAATCAATTTATTTAAAAATTTCTAAAAGAATAAATAATAAATTTTACATATTAAAAAACTACATCGAAAGTTCTACAAAAATAAGAGATGACAAGAATATTTTATTTTATCAAATAATCAATGAAAATACACAAACAAACAAAAGTTATCAAAGGTAGGCCCAAAAGAATTGTAATCAATTTTGGGACGGAGGGGGTATGTCATTTAAACATTTTCACATGAGAAGAACATTTAGGGATACAAGGAGTATTTAGGCAAGACTATTTCAATCATGTGGACTCCTAGGCTCCAAAATTCTTTAAAATAGATGAATTGTGGGTACTATTGAACATGGCTTCTTCTAAGAGACAGTACTAACCAGTGCCAAATCCAAGAAATAGAGTGACAGGGGCAAGAGTAGTATGGGGTTCGGGAGTAACACCGTTGCCCCCGTTAGTTTTTTAAAAAGTAAAGTAAATGACATCAAAAGTAAAAACAATTATATCAAACAGCCATTCAAATAAAAATGAAAAAATCTAAAAACATTCCATATAGTTTCACTATCATATTCTATCTTGTAATCTAACAAATTTCATTTTTAAATTCTATGATTGTAATTATAAATTTTTCTCTTTTAAAGTCAATTACTTTAATTTTAAGTATTACACTTTTTACTTGGGAGCATATAGTTTTTTATTGGGGCCAACCTTATTTGGGGTAATAAATTCCTTCATCCTAAAATGTTTGGGAAGGGAGGGGGGGTTTAGTGCAGAATACAGGGCCTAGTTATAAATACTTTTAGCAGGAAAAAGAATTGTTTCCTAGAAACATTCCATTTGTCTCACATGAATGTCATACCACACTTAGAGTTGTATCCTGACCTGCCATATTCTCTATGTTTCACATTTATGTCTCCTCTTCAACTACCGAAACATGAATTATAAATATTAATATTCCTTTCTAATCTTAGATTTTGAAGTACTAAAATTTAAAATAAAATTGGCATACACTCGATTCACGTTTAAGCATGAAGGGTTAAAAAAAATGGAAACTAATCAAACATAACTCTTGTTTGAATTCCAAAGAAAAATGTTAGAAAGATATTCGTAATAATGATTGTATTACCTTCGCTCCCCAGTCAGCATACTTGAAGTCATTGTTAATTTGTAATTCGAAGATCATCCAAAATGCCCCCTACGATCCTACTAACTTAAACATGAAAAAAAATATAATTACCTACAGAGGCCATAAAAGCAACAACTTACATTGAGATAAAAACAACGGCACCCTGTCAATAAATTTGTAAGCAACATCCACTAGTCTATCATTAAATAAGCTGCCAATGCATGTATTCATATGCAGAATTTAGAAATGCATGCCACAACTAAATTCATATGTGTTGATGAGTGCCACACGTTTTATACAGTCACATATGCCAGCTTAGGTATTCAAACAATATCTATCTACTTGATTGGTGCTTAGTTTATGCAAACAGGGAAATGTTCTGACAAAAAAAGACACTCACCCACACATCACTTCAAACTCAACACAAAATTGACAACTAACCTCAGTAAACACACCACGCCACATGATGGCATGAAGCCATATTCTGACGGATGTGAAAGCACTGGAAGTCTTAAAATTTAAGTACGAACAAACATAATCTTAAGTGCCATAAATTATACTTTGTAAAAAATTGTCATCATATTGACACATACATACGCAATAACATTACAAGGAATGTGAAGCTCCAATTAAGTACTCTGTATAAGTGTATACTATAGTACTATACAGGCAAGGCCCCATGCTTAAAAGCATTGTGCACAATTATTTGGCAATTGGGTACTTTCTGATATTATAAGGTTCCAGACACAATCCTAACAACATGCAAAAGGATACCAAAGGAGCCATAATACCGAGACCTTGCATCCTATAAGGTTCTCCGGAAAAAAACTCTCAGAAACTCAGGCTAGTGGCATTACTAATTACAGGTGGGGATGATAATAGCTAAAAGCCTAAAAGGCGAGTGAATACGAAAGAGCGCGATCCGTGGTATTACTGTGAATATTCTCAAATACCTACGAAGGACGGATGCACCAACCCTGGGAGGAGGGCACAGGGACAATCGGACGCGAAGGACACTACACGAGTCGTATAGTTGGCGGGAAACGATGACAAGGACCTCGAATACAGCCGGGATACCTCGAGAATCGACGGGGATATGCACGGACTCCGGCGGAGTTGAGCTTTTTTCAAGCAGGGACGGGATGCACAGCAGCGGCGTCCGGTTCGTGGTCCGGAAGAAATCGGCGGAGGAGAACCCGGCGGTGATGATCACACCGACTTGATGGGCTTCTGGGGGATTTTATCGGATGAACTGTGGAGGATCGAGACTTTGGGAGCGGAGATTGTTTTCACTTTTCAGATTTCAAAGAGCACAAGGACTAGGGTTCCTCCTTTTTCCCATTTACCGGAGTATTTCTTTTTTGCTTTTGTCAAACTCAATTTTTTTTTAAATCTAATCTTTAATATGGAATAGTAATTTAATTTTTTTAATATTCACCCGGATCATTAAATTCTTAAACATATTATGCGATATTTGATTGAACTTATTTTTATTTTAAATTATTCAGAATATGTTAGGTGAGCAAAAGAAATACGGATTTTAATATCTCTAGACATGAGAACATTTCTTTGGTGTTATGTGAAATCAAAATAAGTATCGAGTTTGATATCTATATATATCATAAACTATCCAAATGAAAGATAAGAAATCATCCTAAATAAGAGTAAACAAAATAAAGTATCAAAATAGAAGTTTCATGTTTTTATTTCTGAAATAAGAATTTACAATGTGGTATTGTACACGTACATTTTACTACTCCAAGTGTATTTTATGGCAATTTACATGGTTTTGATTGATAATATAATTGCATTTTAACTCTTAAATCGGGAGTAATAATAAAAATATAAAACTTCTATTTTGGTATATATTTTAAATATTTTACTCATACTTCAGTCTTCTTCTAATGAAAAATTTCGATATTTTCCAAATTTGGGAGGCATCAATTAGGTGGATTTGATATCTCTCTCAACGTCTTATCACCGCAATCGCTCTTTTTGCCAATCACCCACACCTATCACTAATAAATCATGATTTTCAAACTTCTCCAAACAACTTCATTTCAAATTTCAATACTTGTATTATTTTGTTTAGATTTCAGAACGCATATCTTATCATATCTCTTAAACTTTAATTTATTTCTCGTATGTAAAATTATATGAAAATTTTTTACAAATGTGAATAATAGATAAAAATGTAAAATAGATAATTTTTCAAAAGTATATAGATTATTTAGCATGACAACATATAAAAAATATTAATGGGACAAAGTAATTATTTTTAAATTGCGTCCAACGAACCTTTTGCAAGTACAAACAATTTGATATTGAACAAAAAAGTACTTATAATTTTTTTTCTGTAACTAAAATTATGAGACATTTTTATATCACGCAAGCAACTAAAATTATGAGACATTTTTGTCCTTCGTAAATCAAAACTCAAAAGTGTTTTAGGAAACGATAAAGCGTATTAACATTAAAAAATGTACTTTTCTAGTCAAATGAACTTCAACCACTTTTGTGTTTCATATAATCAAAATTTAAACAGACTTGTTTGGAGGGAGGCATCATTCCAAAGCCATTACAATTGTTTGGTACTTGTATACATTAACATGGAAGCGTAGATTACCCCCATACGCCTAGTTTTCAATTGTGAGTCGAGATGATTACAATTCAAACTTAATTCTATTTGTCATCAATTTAAAATATTTATATCGACCCAACAAATTTAAAATTGTATCAGATCATATCGGATTTGTATATTGCTCATTGCCGACCCGAACCCGCCCACTCTTTGCCATGTCATGACAAGCATTGATTAATAACCAATTTTTTTATGTAATCTCTTTAACTCAAAATGATTTGTCTCTTTATAAGTATAGTCTCTCAATAATTTTTTTTGTTTGTATGTTTTCATTTTTATCAAATATTTTATCACTTCTTGTTTTTAGAATTTTTATTTAATTTTTAAATATATAATTTTATTTTTTTATTTTTATACTAATTTGTAAATAAAATATTTTAAAAGCGACAAAATTCTGTACGTTGTTCAAAGAGTACATCTCTTGCTTGAAGGCAGGATAAGATTCAATTCTCTCTCAACAAAAAAAACTATAAAAAAATTATCACTCACTTTCCTATTTTTCTGTTTTAAAATAAATTTCATATTCTATATTTGGCACAATTCATCTTGAAGTTGAATAAGTGACGTGTAGTATTTTCTTCTTTTCTAACACTACGTTTAGTTCAACCACATACTTGTAGTATTTACAGTAATTTTTAACGATATGCTTGATGCCTAATGTTTTTTTTGAAGATCAAATCAAATTAATTACGGAGTATACTCTATTCATCCCAAATTCTTTTAGGGTCCGTTTGGTATACGGAATTGATGGAATTGAATTAATTGGAATTGTAATTCCATGAGATTCAATTCCATAAAATTGAATTCACCAATTCTCATTCATTTTTTGCACTATCAATTCCAAATCCACATAATTTTTATGCTACCAAATACCAGAATTGGAATTAAAATCTCTAATTCTAATTCCATAGTTTGAATTCTGTGTACCAAATGGAGCCTTATGGTATCTTTGGGAACATGGATTTGAATTTCAAATCCGAATATGACTCAAATTCCATGTTTGAGAAATTTACAAATTTTGAATTTGGATTTAAATCAAATTCTTTTCATTCATAGCAAAGCTTAATTTTAAATTCATGCATCTCTCCTTGTCATTTGAAATTCAAAATTTCAAATTTTGGAATTGAAATACATGAATTGAAATTAAATTCTATTTGCCAAGCATTACCTTACACACTTTAACTTTCAGAGTTTAAAAAAGATATTTAGAAGGAAAAAGACTAAAATAAGAGAAACATAGACATATAATAAAATAAGAGTTTCATATTTTTATTTTCTAAATAGAAATTAAAATGCATATACAATGCTAATAATCCCAATGTATAATACCAAAAAATATTCTGAAATATTCTATGTTATCACAGTGCAAACTCTTATTTTAGATATAAAAACATAGAGATCTTATTTTAATACTTTCTCTATGTTTTATTTTTATTCAAGGTGATTTCTTTGTTTAAAAGACTAAAAGAAAAAAAATATTTCTAATAATATTATCTTTTGACTTTTTGTGAAGTGCCTAAATTAACCAAACCTTTCGTGTAATAAATCCGGCTTTTGAATAGATGAGATTGGGTAAAATGCGTTTCTTTTACCCGAAGTTTAAAAAAAAGAGGCGTTTTTCCATGGAAGAAGACCAGCTTGACATCATCATCATCTTCATCTTCATCAAAGAATACATCTGTCAGGAATGAGAAACACCACCTGTCCAATCTTTTTTCTGCTCAGCCTTCTGGAGAGCTCAGCTTCTTTCTTTCTTTCTTCAAATCATCATATAATTCATATCAGATATTTAAAAAAAAAGATTCAAGTAGGAAGGCCAAAAGATATCAAGGAGGAAGATGAAACCAGAAACGCTGACCTTGGTGCTGGTGAACTTAGCCGGAATAATGGAGCGCGCCGACGAGTCATTGCTGCCCGGAGTCTACAGGGAAGTCGGAGACGCCCTTCACGCCAGCCCTACCGGCCTCGGCTCCCTCACCCTTTTCCGATCCATAGTTCAGTCTCTGTGCTACCCTCTTGCTGCCTATCTCTCCCTCCGCCATAACCGGGCCCACGTCATTGCATATGGCGCTTTCCTCTGGGCTGCCGCCACCTTCCTCGTCGCCTTCTCCTCCACCTTCTCTCAGGTTCCTTTGTTTCCCCAATATGAAGGGTCCGTTTCGAAAGATGGCTTCTTTGGAAAGTGTTTGGTTAAAGTTTGGAATATGGAATGACTACATTTGCTGGTCTTTGGTTGAAAGTTAGGAAAAGATGAAAAATGTTTTCCAGAAATCATTTTCCATTGACTCCATTTTTCGGGAACAATCAAACACTGGAAAATGGAAAAGTAACTTCTGGGAGTCATTTCCCCCCTTCCCAAAGTGATCATAATAGAAAAGGCTCAAACTCTTCTTCTTAACATCTATTTCTACGACCATGGGGTTTTTGGTTTAAGGCTACGGTCCCTTTGGCATTGGGATTTACATTTAGCATTTTGAAGAAACTATCCACGGCTAGCCTCTAATATTCAACTATGATAGCTAATTAGATAAGTTTTTCTCAAACGTACCTTACATATTTCTCATGTTTTTTTTGTGTATTGATCATGATAAGGTGGCAGTATCTAGAGCATTGAATGGGATTGGGCTTGCCATAGTGACCCCTGCTATTCAGTCCATCGTAGCTGACTCAACGGACAATGACAACCGTGGGTTGGCATTTGGATGGCTGCAGTTCACCAGCAACCTCGGATCCGTTGTTGGTGGATCGCTTGCATTATTGATGGCTCCCATTACCTTCATGGGTATTCCCGGGTGGAGGCTTTCTTTTCACCTGGTAGGACTGATCAGTGTCATTGTAGGCATTTCAGTTCGCCTGTTTGCCAGTGATCCTCGCTTTCCAGATGGCAGTTTGAAACGCGAAGCAGTTGGGAAATCCTCTGTTTGGGCTGAAGTTGTTGACCTGGTTCAAGAAGCAAGAACGGTTGTGAAGATACAATCATTCCAGATCATTGTAGCTCAGGGTGTTACCGGTTCTTTTCCCTGGTCGGCTTTGTCATTCACCCCAATGTGGTTGGAGCTCACTGGATTTTCCCATCTTCAGACTGCTATTCTCACCGGAATGTTTGTGTTCGGTTCTTCTGTTGGAGGTATATTTGGCGGAAGGGCTGGGGATTTGTTATCCCGATGCCTTCCCAATCACGGACGAATCATTCTGGCTCAAATAAGCTCGGCATCTGCGGTCCCCCTTGCTGCAATTCTTCTCCTGGCATTGCCCACTGACCCGTCCTTTTTTTCCATGTATGCTTCGGTTCTCCTCGTTACTGGATTTTTCATATCATGGAATTCCCCTGCTACAAACAAGTAATCATCTTCATCCTAGACCATCTTCTTTCATTCATTGTCATTGTTACTAGACTTAATACTACACATATGGTTACTGCTTTTATAATGGAACTTATAGAAGTATACTTTTGGCATGTTAATTCCTAAAAAGTTTGTTAATGATTAATTTTTTGTTTAATACTACATATTAGTTGTGTACTAGTAGGTTTTAAGTATGAAAATTTTATTTTTTTTAATGCTACACAAATTTTTATACAAATTTAATTGAAAATAACTTGGTCAAATATCATAAACCATAGGTGGGACCTTGTTTTGGGATGGAGGGAGTAATATGTCAAATAATTCCGAGTTTGTCCTTTACAATATTATTAGCTCAAGTAAAACGCAGCATCACATTTCGTGAACAAATCGGATAGTAACCACATCACTCAAGGTAATACTCACTCCATATGACAATCTATGAACCAAGCTCCCCTAATTACCTAAAACATGCATGCTTTTATCAATTTCAAAGTCCTTATGGTTTCCAGTTTCTGCTATTTTTGAACAGTGTTACTAGTTATAATGAGTTGCGATTAGTCCAATTTTTGCAGAGATCGTACCTGAGGAGTACCGAACGAGTACATATGCTCTGGACAGATCATTGGAGTCCGTATTATCTTCTTTTGCCCCACCTGTTGTAGGATTACTCGCTCAGCGTGTTTATGGATACAGACCGGTCCCACAAGACACCAAAAATATTGATGCTGACAGAAACAACGCTTCATCTCTAGCTAAGGCACTGTTCATGGCGATAGGAACTCCAATGATGCTTTGTTGCTTCATCTACTCTTTTCTCTATTTTACCTACCCAAGAGACAGAGACCGTTCCAGGATGAGAGCTCTGATAAAATCAGAAACGCAGCTTTTAGATATGGACAGTTCAGCTCTCAGAGGACAATATTCACAAGTTCAGCAGTATGAAACAAAAGAATGTCACCTGGGTGCTGAATCGAGTTGTGGAGAAGATGGACCTGATGCTGGTGACAGTGATGAACTGGACTTCATCAAGTAGTAACACACAATCATATCAGTTAATCAAAGATTCTAGAAGGGTTCACCATTGAACGAGTATTTCCAAAGATTTTTCATGTGCATTGAGCAAATACAGCCAACACCGCCAGTTTGATGTCAACTCTAGGATTCTTCTAAACTTTTACTGGTTCAAGATTTGTAGCAAAGATGGAAAGAATGTAAAGAAGATTACTTGGAGAAACACGGATATCAATATATTCTGATTACTTCAGTGCATCAGTGTCAACACATAAAAAGCAATTAACATAATGTGATTTTATGCCAATCTTTTTGAATGAAAAACTCATTCTATGCCCACATGGGAAAATATGAAACACCATGAAATAGATTAACCGACTGATAGCCACAATGATCAAGTAGGTTTCATGGCATAGAGCATGATGAAGCGCCCATTCCTGATGCACTTGAACCCCACAAGTCCACAGACAGTGCAAAGATCTTCAAGTTCTTTGTCATTCAGGAATATGTGACTTCCTGATACTTGAGCAAAACTCTGCATCCATAGAAAAAAAATCCATCACAAATGAAGCCCGCCAAAAGTCAAGACATTAAGTTAGTAACAGGTTTTTGAACGATGAAACTGAAGGAATGTTTCAAAAAGACGAATTAAAAGAACAAGAGCATGTCCTTTTCTGTAGATGAGAAAAAATATGAACTTTCCCGGGAATTAGCGCCCAATTCCTTGGACTAGTAAACTTTGTGGTTTGGTTGAAGGGAAAACTTCTTCCCTAAGGATTTTCCTACACCTACCCATATGATTTTTTCCAGTGTCCCTTAGGAAAAGAAAATGTACATTTTGACTGCTTTACCCCATAACATTATGGGTTAGCCGTTTGCAATTATATATTCCGTATATGAATTAAGATGGGCATTTTGAGCATTTTAAATTGTTTCTTTCTTCCAAGATTATTCTGACCAAGTGACCAACCAAAGAGTGGCTTGGCAATAATTGGGATATTGTGTGCCAAAAGAACGGTGATCCATTCAGGAGTATCTGCCATTGATAACACGGAAAGAAATTTGTCCTTTAACCAATTTAACAAGTAGAAAGAAAATAAGGAACTCACTTGACGGAAAGGTTTCAAGAATGGGTTGAGGGAATAGATTCCATCCATAATGTAGGTTGTGGCAACAAATACCCCTCCAGGCCGTAATACACGACTGATTTCAGCTACCTGTGAAATCAGTTTTAACAAAATATGTAGTATAGATCAGTACTAATATACAAAAGCTACGTGAATAAAATAAGAACCAAAAGTGCATGACTAAAAGCTATCATATTATGTTTGTTTGACTTCTATTGAGTAATGGGTGCAAAGCACAAAGCTGCAAACACATCACATTTAACAATTATGTCTGAAATATAACATAACATGTTGCATTCTCCTCTTAAGATATTTATGAAAGAAAATGTAGGCTACATTTGGAACAAGGGAATAATGGGGATATGAAAAATGTCATGGAAAAATGATTGTTTTTAATGTTTGATTTTAACATGGAAAAACTGAATGAAAAACAAATTTAATTAACTTTTTAATATTTTGCATATATGATATATTTAGATTTCTTACTCTGCATTTATACAAACAGGGCACTAAGTGGCTCATAGTTACCCGTTGCGTATTTCCAATGAACAAAAGTAGTTTGAGAGAGAAGATGATCAGAAAGGCCTACCGCAGACGATGGTGAAGGCCAACAATGCAAAGCAGCCCCAGCATGCACAGCATCCACGGTGCTTGATGCAAATGGAAGTCTGGATATATCAGCTCTAACCAATACTATATTCCTAAAGTAAAACAGAACTCCATTAAACCAAAGATGTAACAATAGCTGTTATACAAACGAATTCAGGAAAGGAATTCCTACTCCTTAGGAAAGTTTTCCTCCTGGTTTATGAATTCATAACACTGCTGCAACATGGCCTCTGAAAAGTCCAATGCAACAACGAGAGAAAATTGCCCACTCTTGGCAAATAGTCTTGAAAATAAGCCACTACCACAGCTAGCATCAATGATATTTCCACCCATGACTGGTTCAAGATAATCTTGCATCAACTCAAACTGCAGTGGGGCATTATATTGCTATTAGCAGTGTTAGTTAGACATGTAAAGCGCAACTAGTGTATATTCAGAATTATTGTGATGCTATTTTACTTTTTAGTTTCAAAGTCATAAGTTTATTGAAGAAAAATTTCCGACATGCAAGTATAATCTTTTTTTCCCTTCGTTATGGTTTCGTATTTCCTTTTGTCTTCTTTGTAATGAGGGTAACCTAACGCCCAATGCCAATTGTCAGTTTATAAATGCTACGGAGTACAAGATGGTGTGGGCGTTTCTTTGTGCTTATAAATTGGTCAAAACTACTCATAAACAGTTTTTAACTAATACTGATGACATGTTACTGTGTGCTTATAAGCTGACTTATAAACTGCTTATAAACCAGAAAAAATAAGTAGGTCTTAGCTACTTGTTCTTCAGTCAGCTTTTTTTTATTCTCCGTTTTGACCAGATTATTTACAAAACTGTTTCTCACCATTTATGAATATTTACAAATGGTTTTTATATCATTTAAGTCATTTTACTTCCACGGAAGATTACTTGACTTATAAGCAACTTATAACTTAAAACTGCTCATCATCAATAAGCCATAACCAGCAGCACAGAGAAAAACACCCCCAGTATATCACATTGCCAATAGCTGCCATGAGACCTCTTTTTCTGGGCCAGGAAAAGCACCCCATAGTGAAAAGCTTTGCCGCCAACCCCTTTCATAAAGAAATGATATAAAGGGAACCCTGTACCAACAAAGAATGAAGTTACATTATGGAATGGAATTAAAAGAAGAGGAATTAACATTTTTAAATTAAAAAAAAAAGCAGATGAATTAACAGCATTAAACACCATCATAAATAAATAAAAACAGGTGAAACAATACCTAAATATCTCAGTAGAAGCTGCAATTGTTTCCCCAAAAGCCTTGCCACCACTAGAAATTGTCAAGTCAATGTGCGTGTCATTGCCATAGTATGTCTTTTGGCAGGTGTTGCACTTTAAAGTGGACTGAGAAAGAGAATACCTGCGGAAACAACACATACAATTAAGATATAATGAAATAAATGTACTCGATATGATAATTTCTCATCCCAAATGATAAAGTGATTAACTACAGGAATACATATAAAAAATCGAGAGAAAATTATAAATTTGTTTAAATCAAGACTGAAATAACTCACATGGATGGTTGTGGCTTATGATTCCAAATAAAGTGATTGTAGCAAATGGGGCATGCTAAAATATTGGTCCGTATGATCACCTTCTTGTCATCTATAAAACGATCCTAAGAGGGAGAACATTGTTTGAGCGCAATAAGAGATATGCTAATGTGCCAATAGTTTTTGCACAAATCCATATTTTGGCATTTGTTAGGCGTATTGTAGTCATGTAAATTTGACTGATATTTTTTGTTTCAAACAATACCAAAAACACAGTTAATTCGTAATACAAAAACATATTTCTTCCATTAAGTTTTAAATAATTGTTTATACATTTTAAGAAAGTTCACAATAAAAATTCATGCAAATAATACTCGAATACTTTTACATGATGAGATACTCTAGTACTCTAAGATGACATCCCTTCCATTCAAGATTAACTACTCGTTTTGTTTTTATGTGTCAACTATAACCAACAATATACGAAATATACAATTACTTACGATATAAAATCTATACCATAATTCTAGTACTGAAAATAATTTTACTACACTCCCTCCAATCTCCATCCCAAAAGAAGTTTACACTTTCCTTTTCAAGATATCCCAAAATGAATCTTACACCTCCTTACTTTTCTTTTACGGGTAGGTATATGTGTCTAAAAACATTTTTCTCCCTTTCAAAAAAAATTCGACCACATTTTTTACTTTTCTATACTATTCTAGTACTTTGTGAAACCAAGTTGTAAGCTTCATTTTGGGATGGATGGAGTATTATTTTTTTTGATAAATGTGTATTTTAAGACATACTGGTTGCAAAAGTTTGAGACGGAAAATGAAACGGATCAATATTAATGAATGAAGTAGTTAATTTCATCTCTAAAGCCAAAGTTCTTAAAGGAGAAACGGGGTGTGTGCATAAAACTATTACCACTCGAATTTATATAATTATTCATGGCTAATTACACCATTCTCCAAGGAAAAAACTACACCAAGTTCAAAATATATTAGAGATTACGATTTACGAGTATTGAGAAATTCAAAGCAGGAACACAAGTAGATTTCAATTAGGGCTACTTATTAGTCCATTTATCATTAAGAGCTGTAAGACCAGTATTAAAGGGTGCAGTGAGATTAGACAAGAAAATTGTCTAGAACTGACATGAATTTCAATTTCATTACGGATTAGGATAAAATCAGAAAGAAGTAGTAGAATGATTACAGGTTTGTGGTCCGGGAAGGCGGTCGCTGAAGTGAGATTTTTTGCAGCGGAAAATCGAGTTGCTTTTGGGGAAAGCGGAGATGCCTTTCTGAAAAGGGGGCTAAATCTGGAGTTATAACAGAGTTGACGTGGCGGCCGGGGAGATGAGAAGAACCCCAACCCGGCGGTCGCCATTGCCGTCGTCCGTCCCGGAGCACGGCTGTGCAGTTTGATTGACGGAATGTTGGAGAGGTAATAATCGCATCTGGATGACGTGAGTAATACCCGGAGCACGTGATTCAACTGAAGCCATACTTTTTTTTAATTTTTTATTTTTTTTGAAAAAATTTACACTATTTTTTCAGAAAATTACTCACGGGTGACGCGAGTTTTGTTGAAATAACTCTCAGGTCCCTCTATTTTCAAAAATACAGCAGAGGTCCTTACATTTTGTTGTAATGACTGGAAGGGGACATTTCATCCAATATTTCATCTATAAACTTTAATAAATGTATTTTTTTCCTATTCTTTTCTAAATGTTTTAAGGTAATAAATCTTAGGTCGCTCCTTTTTTTATTTCTTTATTTTTCTTTCATTTGGTTACTATTTATTTAAAGTGTTATTTTAGAATTTCTTCTATAAAATCGTATAAAAATTCAAAATTGTTTGTATTATATTAAAACAAAAGAAATAAAAAAATTTTAAAAAAAGAAAAAAAACAAGTTAATGGCAAAATAAGAAAAAAAAGTATTGTAAAAATAGGAAAAAAATTCATTTATTAACACTTACGGATGATGTATTGGATGAAATGTCCCCTCTCAGTCATTACAACAAAATATAAGGACCTTGGTTGTCTTTTTGAAAATAGAAGGAGCTAAAAGTTATTTCCACAAAACTCGCGTCACCCGCGAGTAATTTTCTGCTATTTTTTTTATACACGGAATAGTAATGTCACCTCTTGTTCGTGGGTAGAATTTTTGAGATAGTTTTTTAAGATAAAAATACTAAAGTAATACTCCCTCCGTTCCAGAAAGAATGTCATAGTTACTATTCTGGTCTCTTGATAACTTTTGTTTGTTTAATCGTTTTGGTTGACCGTGGATAAAATAAAATATTCTTGCCGCATCTTGTTTTGTAGAACTTTTCATATACTTTTGAATGGTGTAATTTTTACTTTTTATTACTATACCAATTTGAAATTAACGTAATTTTAAAAGAGATGATATTTTACACGTCGTTCAAAGTGTTGCAAATAAATTGGGACAGAGGGAGTAGTAAATATTGAAAATATTACAAAATGCTAGAGCTAGTTAGGTACCCTAATTAAAGCTACCCAACCCACCCAAACCCCTCCACCTACCTTATCCATCAATTCACTCCACCTCACCCACTCATTTTCTCATCTCCGTCTCCTTTTTCTCTGCCTATTCCACTTCCCCATTGCTGGCACCCTTCTCTCTTCAGATTTCCCTTCTCTTTTTCTTTGATTGATCTAAAATTTCTTATGGGGATTCCTGATCCTACGATGCCAAGCTTCAATCTATTATCTGATAGTGATGAGAGAGATTGGCTCTTACGCATGTCCCAACTACTTCGAAGCCTTTAATCCCTGATTATGACTCTGGGGACACTGCATCTGGAACCGATGATACAGATCCAACATGGTGGTACACAGGGGCAGACCCAGGATTTTTTACCACGGGGTCGATAATATATTTAAAAATTTGAGACAGTATATCATTTGTTGGGTCGTAAGTAAAATAAGATTCATATTTGAAAATATTCTTAAAAATAACTTTATGGTATTAACATGTAATAAAAAATTTTAAAATTGACATTCAAATTTACTATAAAATTTTAAATGAGATGGATGAATCATTAAAAATTGAATGATATATAATAAGAATTTATTTTAAGAAAATAGGAATAATATCAACTACATATTTTTTTCTATAAATAAGTAAAGTGTAAAGTTTATAAGTTTGTTTGATATAGAAGAGAATAGACAAATAAAAAATAGTTATGTTGATTAATAGTTTAATACGAAAGGAGGTACACAATTTTTAAAGTACTTAAGAAAATTGAAACACTCCATAAACATAAACTTTACTATAGATTTTTAAATGAAACGGATAAAGCATTAAAAAGTTAAATAATTGGTGCCTTTTNCCTCTCTTCTAGGCTCCTCCCACTTCTGTGAATGTTGTTTTCCCTCTCTTCTAGGCTCCTCCCACTGCTGTGAATGTTGCTTTCCCTCTCTTCTAGGCTCCTCCCGCTTCTGTGAATGTTGCTTTCCCTCTCTTCTAGGCTCCTCCCGCTGCTGTTTCACATAAACCTCATCCTGAACTTCATTCTGATTTTCACAATGTGGAGGAGCATTCACGTAAGATTTTGGTTTCCATTGAGACACAGTAACACAGTTTTCTTTAGCCCCAACTGCTGTTTTGTCCATCTCCTTTGTCTCCTGCACCACCACCGGTTGACTGTGATTTCTTCCAGTCACACTGTTTCTACTGTTTCTGCTATTATCGGACCTAGCAGCTTTTACTGTGCTTTTATCACAGTCTTGTCGGGTAGAAGAACTCAATTTACCTTTGCCTGTAGTGCCGCCTACTTCATCTACAGTTCCAAAAGACACGTGTTGTGCTCCTGTATCAATAGGCATCCCCCAACCATCTAATTTACTGTCCGCATTTACAGAAACAGTGTGAGTTCCAAAAGTGAGTGACGTGTGGTGTTGATGACCACTTGCCTGCTGGGCCATCTCTTTTGCAATGGGCTTCGGAACGTACCTCTCCATTTCAGCCCGCTTGCTTTTACTCGAATTATCATGACTACTGCGGTGCATCACATTGTCACTCATTGTGGGGGTAGTATGATCATTAGGTAGGACCTTTTTCTGACTGGATTCAACGTCAGAAACATGTTTGGCCTGTGGTTGCACGGGAGCCCACACGACAGCATCACTTCCATGTGATTTATCCCCAAATCGATTACCACGTTGATTTCTTGATATCCTGTGAGGGTGCTGAGGTTTTCGCTGATCATTCACTCTGCCATGGCCCTCTTTGCTCAGAGTGTGAGGCTCTGAAATTTGCAGTACATTGTCACTCTTCATTGTTGCCTGAACAGAGCTTATAACTAAAACTTCATTCTCAGAGGATTTTCCAGTTGTACTGTCTGCCTGCATTGCAGTGGGAAGTGAAGTAGCTGGGATAGACCGTGTGTCATCCATCTTCTGCTTGTTCTTACCATTCCTATTGCCTTTCCTTCTCTGTTGCAAACCGGACTCTGTCAATGTACTGATAGCGATAGGATTTTTTGACTCACCACCAAGAATGTCACCATCGGTTGACGCATCAGTATAATTCTTTGGAGGGTCACTAGTATCCATTGATGGAGCTGATGGTTTGTTCAGATCTTTATGAATGGCAACATTCTGCCTTTGCTTGTGGCCAGTAGTACGTTTATTATGTATGTCACTGGATGGGAGGGTCGGCTGCTTGGCACCGGCGGTGTTGAGATCTTCTTGACGTGTCAAAGTTGGGTTGTGTTCGATCATAGGTTGAAAGACAGCTGTTTCGTCACCCTGGCTAGGGAGGGAGACATTCTGCCTTTGCTTACTATACCTGTCATTAAATGGGAGGGTCGGCTGCTTGGGACCAGCGAGGCCAAATTCCTGCTGATGTGTCAAAGTCGGTCCCTGCTCAATCATAGGTTGCAAGTCAGCTGTTTCATCTCCCTGGCTAGGGGGGATGCGCTCATTTACTTCAACAAGGTCATCAGGCTTTGTGGATAGAGGTTCATCAGGTGATTCAATAAGTGCACACTGTACTTGCTCTTGCTTGGCCTTTTCAGACTTCTGAGTTGAAGAAGCATCATCTCCTCCCTGCATACGACGATTCAATTCCTCAAGTTTAGCAAGAGCCTTGGCTTTCTGCTCCCTAGTACGTTCTTCCTCTTCTTTCCGTAGCTGTAAGGCACGCTTCTCCAACTCTTCCTTTTTAGCACGCTAATTGAACATTTAGAACAATTTAATAACACAGTCTCATACTTTTAAAAGGATACAGCAGTCACTCATGTTCCACAAATTGCAGGTTGATTTTACCATAGCAATCTAGTATGGAACATGTGCTTATAACAACTATCTCATTTTACCACTATCACATGACATTTTTCATGCAAGTTGAGATGACCTACGATGACGACTTTTCAAATTCCAACTCATTATTCCTTCGTAAGGAGATTTAGAGTTATCTCATATTTGGTTGAAATGGCCATTAGGTAAGCATTATGTAGTTGAAACTTTGAGCTAGTTTGGAAAGGGTTATCTGGTTCAAACTTTCATCCATACAAGTCAAATGCTACTTATTCTTGTTAATCTGCTAAAGCAGAATAACTGAATAAGTCAAATAGAATACAACACAAGGCATTTACCTTTGCTTTTTGCATGGATTCATAAGATTAAGTGGTTAACACACGTTGACAAGTAATTAAGGTGATGCTGATGAATATAATGACTAACAATGATACCTGTGTCTGGCCATCAAATGATTCAGGCATGAATTCTTTCTCATCCTTTTCCTGTGCACTACTTACGGTATGTTTCATATCCTCAATTTGAGGATATGAGATATTACTTTGCACACTAGAAGAAGGTACAGTACTATGAGATGCGCACATAGAAGAACATTCAGCAGAAAGAGGTTGCTTTCGCCAACCGTCGTCATGATGATTAAACTTGGCTTTAGCAGGATAATGATCACTTCTACCCTGTGTTCCATGATAGCTTGTCCTGAAAAAATTGAAGAAGACTTTAAGGGAATGAATAAGGATCAATACAGAGATATAAACAAAGACAGAGAGACTACCTTGAGATGTCAGAGGCATGGGTGGTTTCAAAATGCTTAGATGAGCTTCTTGATTCATCACCTATAAAATTGTCAACCTTGGCATTAACATATGCCCTACTTTGTTCGTCACTTCGTGGATCAAAATGGCTTTCATGACCATGAACTTTTGCATTCAAACCTTCAATCTTCTTCATTAAATTTGATTCATTGCCCGCAACTGCCAAAACTGGACCTCTTTGCATAGTCATTTTATGAGTGGACTCTGTAGTTACTGATCTTCCAACCCAATTGTCTGGAGCTGTCCTTACATTGTCCAAACCTTCTACAGATTTGAATTTGACATTATCTGAAAAATCACCTCTTTGATTATCAACACCCTGTAAATTAGAGTTTTCAATCATTGCTTCATCACTACTGCAGACTTCCCATTCATTCTTCATTCCCCCAGGCTGAAACCTCCTTTCTCCATGTACAGTAATAGCAGGTGTGGGCCATTTTCGGTCCTCTCCCCCAACTCCACGATCGCATTCATCATGATGCTTTAGAAGAACTTTATATGGCTGTCGAGCGCAATCAGGATGAGCAGGTTCTCCTTGTTCCTGCAAGAACGTGTTATTGGAACTGCCATGTCTAGCTGCTCTCGCATGTGAATGGTTTGCATCTTGAACATTTGGCGCTGGATATCTATTCAAAACAGCAGGCCCCGGAGGCATGCCCATAAGTGAAATATCCCGCTCACTGGAATTGTAATACCCCATAGGCGGTCCATAATATCCCTCAAAAGCTACTGGTCCGGGGTAATATCCAGGCCGAAATGGCATACCGGGGTGAATACAAGTGTCTGGCATCTGTGCCCTATATAAATCATTACTTCTTGGGTGGGGCCCTCTAGGACCATGCCCTTGAGAAGGCACTGGCTGTGAATTGGCTAGGTGGGGGATTTGGTGGGGCCCGTAATATGGATACTGTTCAAATTGAAATCCACCTGGACCAACATGGGGTCCATAAGGAGGTGCTCCAGGATGTCCCCTGTACCAAACACCAGTTGGAGGAGGCATAGGACCATGCCATGCATCAAAATGTTGAGGGCGAACATCAGAATTAGAAAACTGGTGGGGATCCCCTTGCCACATGTGCGTGCCATTATCTACATGCTGGGGGCCATCTCTTCTCCACGTATCAACTTCTCCGTTTTGGAAGTCATGCTCTATTAGAAGGATGTTTTGACATAAGACACAAAGTATAATTGTAACCCATGAAAACAATATGTATTATACAAACCAGGGTCAGCTCCATAAAACTTCCCCATGTCATGTGAGTGTTTACCAGAAGGTGAGCTAGGAACACCGTGAGAGTTATGATCTATGATGAAATGATCATGTTTAAACAAGAGCAAATACATGTCAAAGATACTCAATGTATTCTATTATTCTATAAGAATCTTTTTTTTAAGAATAAGATGAACATATAGCTAAAACTAAAAATATGCACGATAAGGAAAAACAGCAACTCACCTTGTGGCTCACTCGTCTTCTCGCGATTATCTTTTTCAGAACCAAGACTAGGAAAATCCCCAGAGCTTAGAGAAAAGCCGTCGTTTTTAGCGTTTAAAACCGCCTGAAAGTTTACAAACATAAATCAGACTCGACAATACTTTACGCAGTCAATGCAACTAAATCAATAAAAATGTTTAAGAAAATATCAGAAATTTTATGTGTTACACATTTGAATAACGAAGAACAAAGCCTCTAATGTGTATTCATAAGCAATACGGTATGTCAAAGCTATGTGAAAAAGATCATTGAAGTCCATATGGATAAAATCACATTGGTTGTGTTATTTTTAAGGGTTAGGAATGGTAATAAAAATAAAACAAATAGTACTCTTAGTACTGATTCTTAGTCAACTATAAATACCGATAGACTAAGGAATTCATGAACTGTGGTTCCCTTGATGCTATGTTGTTAACTTGTTATTAGACTCGAATGTTGAAGATAAGAAAACACAAACGAGACACAATAGTAGAGTCACACTATACTCTTCGGTTAATGCTAAGGGACATAAATAACTACTCAGAAAAAAATCCATGCAACAAAAAACCATACCAATCGCTCTGCAGAAGAACCAGGTCCCCATGCTGTTTGAATGTTTGAGCCGGATTCTGCAAAACGTGAAAGTTGTGAGCTGCCAGGCCTAGGCTCTGCGCTTCGCGGGCGTAAGGATGTCAATGATGCTTGACTCGAGGATAGTGCACCAGAGGCCGAAGATGGCCGAGAATTGGATGTCCATGCACTCATACTAGGTTCATGTGTTTTGTCACTACCAGCAGTAGATGGTCTACTCGGTGAGCTAGTGCCACCATCAGCATTTGGGGACAATGTGGAGGAAGTCCATGCATTTGGAGTCGACGATGATGTTTTACTTCCCCAACTGAGAGTTCCCCTGATGTAGACAACAAAGGTTGAAACAAAAATAGGTAAAGGAATAACACCAAAGGGACTATTCTTTTCAAAGAGTCTAGCAGGGTAGGAATTTCAAAACTAGTGCCATTTTTGCTTTTGTAACACCGCAAACATGGACAGACAAAAAAATGTAGTATAAGTACTCACTTAGGAACAATTTCAACACCCGGGTCCTGTCCATGGTTCTCTAATCTGTATACGTACATGAGCAGGAAGAATTTCAGAAAGACCCTTGCAAGAGAATCAGAAGACAATATATACAGTAATAACATACCTTTGACTTGGTAAGTTCAAGGGTTTAGGAACAGCAACTTTTCCAAGGACGGTGAGGCCACCTCTCCTAGCAGAAGTAAACCTTTAATGAAGTAAAGGGACATCACTGTTAGGAAATTACAAATTATAAAAAAAACATGTAACGCACAGTGCAACTTCAAAATCCTGGTATCATATGATTATATGAAAACTATGTGTGACAAAATGATTTCCCTGCTTCTCTTTTATGGATGCCCGAAAATGATCTTCCCATTTCTGTTTCTCTTTTTTACTTTCCTTCACTTTTAATCATTACTCCTTCCGTCCCAAATTAGATTGCAATTTCTTATCTATGAGGCAAACCCCCACATTTTTTAAAATCAATTTATTTAAAAATTGCTATAAGAATAAATAATAAAATTTACATATTAAAAAACTACATCAAAAGTTCTACAAAAATAAGAGGTGACAAGACTATTTTATTTTATCAAATAATCAATGAAAATACACAAACAAACAAAAGTTATCAAAGGTAGGCCCAAAAGAATTGTAATCAATTTCGGGACGGAGGGGTATGTCATTTAAACGTTTTCACATGAGAAGAACATTTAGGGACACAGGGAGTATTTAGGCAAGACAATTTCAATCCTGTGGACTCCTAGGCTCCAAAATTCTTTAAAATAGATTAATTGTGGGTACTATTGAACATGGCTTCTTCTATGAGACGTACTAACCAATGGCAGATCCAAGAAATAGAGTGACAGGGGCAAGAGTAGTATGGGGTTCGGGGGTAACGCCATTGCCCCCGTAAGTTTTTTAAAAAGTAGAGTAAATGACAACAAAAGTAAAAACAATCATATCAAACAGCCATTCAAATACAAATGAAAAAATCTAAAAAAATTCCATATAGTTTCACTATCATATTCTATCTTGTAATCTAACAAATTTCATTTTTAAATTCTATGATTGTAATTTTAAATTTTTCTCTTTTAAATTCAATTATTTTAATTTTGAGTATTACACTTTTCCTATTCTTTTTACTTGTAATTTTTACTTGGGAGCATATAGTTTTTTATTTGGGCCAGCTTTATTTGGGGTAATAAATTCCTTCATCCTAATATGTTTGGGAAGGGAGGGGGGGTTAGTGCAGAATACAGGGCCTAGTTATAAATACTTTTAGCAAGAAAAAGAATTGTTTCTTAGAAACATTGCATTTGTCTCACATGAATGTCATACCACACTTAAAGTTGTATCCTGACCTGCCATATTCTCTATGTTTCACATTTATGTCTCCTCTTCAACTACCGAAACATGAATTATAAATATTAGTATTCCATTCTAATCTTAGATTTTGAAGTATTAAAATTTAAAATAAAATTGGCATACACTCGATTCATGTTTAAGCATGAAGGGTTAGAAAAATGGAAACTAATCAAACATAACTCTGGTTTGAATTCCAAAGAAAAACGTTAGAAAGATACTCGTAATAATGATTGTATTACCTTCGCTCCCCAGTCAGCATACTTGAAGTCATTTTTAATTTGTAATTCGAAGATCATCCAAAATGCCTCCTAAGATCCTGCTAATTTAAACACGAAAAAAAATATAATTACCTACAGAGGCCATAAAAGCAACGACTTACATTGAGATAAAAACAAAGGCACCCTGTCAATAAATTTGTCAGCAACATCCACTAGGCTATCATTAAATAAGCTGCCAATGCATGTATTCATATGCAGAATTTAGAAATGCATGCCACGACTAAATTCATATGTGTTGATGAGTGCCACACGTTTTATACAGTCACATATGCCAGCTTAGGTATTCAGACAATATCTATCTACTTGAATGGTGCTTAGTTTATGCAAACAGAGAAATGTTCTGACAAAAAAGACACTCACCCAAATATCACTTCAAACTCAACACAAAATTGACAACTAACCTCAGTAAACACACCACGCGACATGATGGCATGAAACCATATTCTGACGGATGTGAAAGCATTGGAAGTCTTAAAATTTAAGTACAAACAAACATAAGCTTAAGTGCCATAAATTTTACTTTGTAAAAAGTTGTCATCATATTGACACATACATACGCAACAACATAACAAGGAATAAGAAACTCCACTTAATACTCTGTATAAGTGTATACTATACAGGCAAGGCCCCTTGCTTGAAAGCATTGTCCACAATTATTTGGCAATTGGGTACTTTCTGATATTATAAGGTTCCAGACACAATTCTAACAACATGCAAAAGGAATACCAAAGGAGCCATAATACCTATAAGGTTCTGCAGAAAAAAACTCTCAGAAACTCAGGCTAGTGGCATTACTAATTACAGGTGGGGATGATAATAGCTAAAAGCCTAAAAGGCGAGTGAATTCAAAAGAGCGCGATCGGTGGTATTACTGTGAATAATCTCAAATACCTAAGAAGGACGGATGCACCAACCCTGGGAGGAGGGCACAGGGACAATCGGGCGCGAAGGACACTACACGAGTCGTATAGTTGGCGGGAAACGATGACAGGGACCTCGAATACAGCCGGGATCCCTCGAGAATCGACGGGGATATGCACGGACTCCGGCGGAGTTGAGCTTTTTTCAAGCAGGGACGGGATGCACGGCAGCGGCGTTCGGAAGAAATCGGCGGACGAGAATCCGGCGGTGATGATCACACCGACTTGATGGGCTTCTGGGGGATTTTATCGGATGAACTGTGGAGGATCGAGACTTTGGGAGCGGAGATTGTTTTCACTTTTCAGATTTCAAAGATCACAAGGATTAGGGTTCCTCCTTTTTCCCATTTACCGGAGTATTTCTTTTTTGCTTTTGTCAAATTCAATTTTTTTTTAAATCTAATCTTTAATATGGAATAGTAATTTATTTTTTTAATATTCACCCATATCATTAAATTCTTAAACATGAGAACATTTCTTTGATTGAAATTACTTTTTATTTAATTTATTTAGAATATGTTAGGTGAGCAAAAGAAATATGGATTTTAATATCTCTACACATGAGAACATTTCTTTGGTGTTATGTGAAATCAAAATAAGTATCGAGTTTGATGTCTCTATATATCATAAATTATCCAAAAGAAAAGATAAGAAATCACCCTAAATAAGAGTAAACAAAATAAAGTATCAAAATAGAAGTTCTATGTTTTTATGACCAAAATAAGAATTTGCACTGTGGTACTGTACACATGCACTTTACCATATTTTATGGTAACTTACATGGTTTTGATTGATAAAATAAATGCATTTTAACACTTAAATCGGGAGTAATAAAAATATGAAACTTCTATTTTGGTATACATTTTCAGTATTTTACTCATACTTCACTCTTCTTCCAATGAAAGATTTCGATATCTTCTAATTTTGGGAGGCATCAATATGAGTGATTTGATATCTCTCTCAACGTCTGACCATTCTCTACCACCGACTACCATTGTCGCCGCAATCACTCTCTTTGCCAATCACCCCCGCCTATCACTAATAAATTATGATTTCAAACTTCTTCAAACAACTTCATTTCAAATTTCAATACTCATATTATTCTTTTTAGATTTCAGAACGCATATCTTATCATATTTCTTAAACTCACCAAACCGGCCCTTAATATACTCCGTAAAACTAACTAAATTTATTTCTCGTATGTAAAATTATATGAAATTTTTTATAAATGCGAATAATAGATAAAAATGTAAAATAGATAATTTTTCAGAAGTATATAGATTATTTAGTAAGACAACATATAAAAAATATTAATGGGACAAAGTAAGTATTTTTAAATTGCGTCCAACGAACCTTTTGCAAGTACAAACAACTTGATATTGAACAAAAAAAGTACTTGTAATTTTTTGTCTGTAACTAAAATTATGAGACAATTTTATACTCCGTATCCTGCAAGCAACTAAAATTATGAGATATTTTTGTCCTTCGCAAATCAAAACTCAAAAGTTTTTTTAGGAAATGATAAAGCATATTAACGTGAAAAAAATGTACTTTTCTAGTCAAATTTTCGAGTGAACTTCAACCACTTATGTGTTTCACATAATCAAAATTTAAACAAACTTGGATTGGAGGGAGGCATCACTCCAAAGCCATACAATTGTTTGGTACTTGTATACATTAACATGGAAGCGTAGATTACATCATACGCCTAGTTTTCTGTTTTCAATTGTGAGTCGAGATGATTAAAATTCAAACTTAATTCTATTTGTCACGAATTCAAAATATTTATATCGACCCAACAAATTTAAAATTGTATCAAATCATATCGGATTTGTATATTGCTCATTACCGACCCGAGCCCGCCAAGTCTTTGCCATGTCATGACAAGCATTGATTAATAACCAATTTTTTTATAGTCTCTTTCATTCAAAATGGTTTGTCTCTTTAATATTATAGTCCCTCGAGAATTTCTCTTTATTTGTTTGTTTTCATTTTTATCAAATATTTTATCACCTCTTATTCTTAAAATTTTTTATTTAATTTTTAAGAATATAAATTTTATTTTTTATTTTTATACTAATTTGTAAATAAAATTATTTTATAAACTCTTGTACTCCGTACGTGGTTTAAAAGTACAATTTATTTTTGAACGAGTAAAGTTTAGCCGGTCAACTGGTCACGTTCGGAGTCAAGTTGTGTTCGCGTATTACTATTATCATCATTATCTCTTGCTTGAAGACATGATAATAATATAAGACTTCTCTCCCAATTCTTTACACACTTTAACTTTTAGAGTTTTAGGAAAAAGACTAAAATAGGAGAAACATAGAAATTATACTAAAATAAAAATTTTATATTTTTATTTCCAATGCCAATAATGTCTATATATAATACCAAAAAGTATTGTGAAATGTCCATATACAGTACTATGTTATCAGAGTACAAACTCTTATTTTAGATATAAAAACATGAAGATCTTATTTTGATATTTTTTTTAATATTTTACTCTTATTTAAGGTGATTTAAAAAATATTTCTGATAATTTTATCTTTTGACTTTTTGTGATCTGCCTAAATTAACCAAACCTTTGGTGTAATAAATCCGGCTTTTGAATAGATGAGATTGGGTAAAATGCGTTTCTTTTACCCGAAGTTTAAAAAAAGGAGGCGTTTTTCCATGGAAGAAGACCAGCTTGACATCATCATCTTCATCTTCATCAAAGAATACATCTGTCAGGAATGAGAAACACCACCTGTCCAATCTTTTTTCCACTCCGCCCTCTGTAGAGCTCAGCTTCTTTCTTTCTTCACATCATCATATAATTCATATCAGATATTAAAAAAAAAAAGGAATCAAGTAGGAAGGGCAAAATATTACATATAGGAGGAGGAAGATGAAACCAGAAACGCTGACCTTGGTGCTGGTGAATTTAGCCGGAATAATGGAGCGCGCCGACGAATCATTGCTGCCCGGAGTCTACAGGGAAGTCGGAGACGCCCTTCACGCGGGCCCTACCGGCCTCGGCTCCCTCACCCTTTTCCGATCCATAGTTCAGTCTCTGTGCTACCCTCTTGCTGCCTACCTCTCCCTCCGCCATAACCGGGCCCACGTCATTGCATATGGCGCTTTCCTCTGGGCCGCCGCCACCTTCCTCGTCGCCTTCTCCTCCACCTTCTCTCAGGTTCCTTTCTGTTTCCCCAGTATGAAGGGTCCGTTTCGAAAGATGGCTTCTTGGAAAGTGTTTGGTTAAAGTTTGGAATATGGAATGACTACATTTACTGGTCTTCGGTTGAAAGTTAGGAAAAGATGAAAAATGTTTTCCAGAAATCATTTTCTCCGTTGATTTCAGAAATCATTTTCCATTGACTCCATTTTTCGGGAACAATCAAACACTGGAAAATGGAAAAGTAACTTCTGGGAGTCATTTCCCCCCCTTCCCAAAGTGATCATAATAGAAAAGGCTCAAACTCTTCTTCTTAACATCTATTTCTACGACCATGGGGTTTTGGTTTAAGGCTACGGTCCCTTTGGCATTGGGGTTTAGCTTTAGCATTTTGAAGAAACTATCCACGGCTAGCCTCTAATATTCAACTATGATAGCTAATTAGATATGTTTTTCTCAAACGTACCTTACATATTTCTCCTCATGTTTTTTTTGTGTATTGATCATGATAAGGTGGCAGTATCTAGAGCATTGAATGGGATTGGGCTTGCCATAGTGACCCCTGCTATTCAGTCCATCGTAGCCGACTCAACGGACAATGACAGCCGTGGGTTGGCATTTGGATGGCTGCAGTTCACCAGCAACCTCGGATCGGTTGTTGGTGGATCGCTTGCATTATTGATGGCTCCCATTACCTTCATGGGGATTCCCGGGTGGAGGCTTTCTTTTCACCTGGTAGGACTGATCAGTGTCATTGTAGGCATTTCAGTTCGTCTGTTTGCCAGTGATCCTCGCTTTCCAGATGGCAGTTTGAAACACGCGGTTGGGAAATCCTCTGTTTGGTCTGAAGTTGTTGACCTGGTTCAAGAAGCAAAAATGGTTGTGAAGATACAATCGTTCCAGATCATTGTAGCTCAGGGTGTTACCGGTTCTTTTCCCTGGTCGGCTTTGTCATTCACCCCAATGTGGTTGGAGCTCACTGGATTTTCCCATCTTCAGACTGCTATTCTCACCGGAATGTTTGTGTTCGGTTCTTCTGTTGGAGGTATATTTGGCGGCAGGGCTGGGGATTTGTTATCCCGATGCCTTCCCAATCACGGACGAATCATTCTGGCTCAAATAAGCTCGGCATCTGCGGTCCCCCTTGCTGCAATTCTTCTCCTGGCATTGCCCACTGACCCGTCCTTTTTTTTCATGTATGCTTCGGTTCTCCTCGTTACTGGATTTTTCATATCATGGAATTCTCCTGCTACAAACAAGTAAACATCTTCATCCTAGACCATCTTCTTTCATTCATTGTCATTGTTACTAGACTTAATACTACTCATCTGGTTACTGCTTTTATAATGGAACTTATAGAAGTATACTTTTGGCATGTTAATTCCTAAAAAGTTTGATAATGATTAATATTTTGTTAAATACTACATATTAGTTGGGTACTAGTAGGTTTTAAGTGTGAAAATTTTATTTTTTTAATGCTACACAATTTTTTATATAAATTTAATTGAAAATAACTTAGTCAAATATCATAAACCATAGGTGGGACCTTGTTCCGGGATGGAGTAATATGTCAAATAATCCCGAGTTTGTCCTTTACAATATTATTAGCTCAAGTAAAATGCAGCATCACATTTTGCGAACAAATCAGATAGTAACCACATCACTCAAGGTAATACTCACTCCATATGACAATCTATGAACCAAGCTCCCCTGATTACCTAAAACATGCTTGCTTTTATCAATTTCAAAGTCCTTATGGTTTCCAGTTTCTGCTATTTTTGAACAGTGTTACTAGTTATAATGAGTTGCGATTAGTCCAATTTTTGCAGAGATCGTACCTGAGGAGTACCGAACGAGTATATATGCTCTGGACAGATCATTGGAATCCGTATTATCTTCTTTTGCCCCACCTGTTGTAGGATTACTCGCTCAGCGTGTTTATGGATACAGACCAGTCCCACAAGACACCGAAAATATTGATGCTGACAGAAACAACGCTACATCTCTAGCTAAGGCACTGTTCATGGCGATAGGAACTCCAATGATGCTTTGTTGCTTCATCTACTCTTTTCTCTATTTTACCTACCCAAGAGACAGAGACCGTTCCAGGATGAGAGCTCTGATAAAATCAGAAATGCAGCTTTTAGATATGGACAGTTCAGCTCTGAGAGGACAATATTCACAAGTTCAGCAATATGAAACAAAAGAATGTCACCTGGGTGTTGAATCGAGTTGTGGAGAATATGGACCTGATGCTGGTGACAGTGATGAACTGGAATTCATCAAGTAGTAACACACAATCATATCAGCTAATCAAAGATTCTAGAAGGATTCACCATTGAACGAGTATTTCCAAAGATTTTTCATGTGCATTGAGCAAATACAGTCAACACCGCATGTTTGATGTCAACTCTAGGATTCTTCTAAACTTTTACTGGTTCAAGATTTGTAGCAAAGATGGAAAGAATGTAAAGAAGATTACTTGGAGAAACACGGATATCAATATATTCTGATTACTTCAGTGCATCAGTGTTAAAACATAAAAAGCAGTTAACATAATGTGATCTTATGCCAATCTTTTTGAATGAAAAACTCATTCTATGCCCTCATGGGAAAATAAGAAACACCATGAAATAGATTAACCGACTGATAGCCACAATAATCAAGTAGGTTTCATGGCATAGAGCATGATGAAGCGCCCATTCCTGATGCACTTGAACCCCACAAGTCCACAGACAGTGCAAAGATCTTCAAGTTCTTTCTCATTCAGGAATATGTGACTTCCTGATACTTGAGCAAATCTCTGCATCCATAGAAAAAAGACGAATTAAAAGAACAAGAACATGTCCTTTTCTGTAGATGATAAAAAAAAATATGGCTTGGTTGGTATAATCACTATAATGGAATTCAACTTTCCTGGGAATTAGCGCCCAATTCCTTGGACTAGTAAACTTTGTGGTTTGGTTGAAGGGAAAACTTCTTCCCTAAGGATTTTCCTACACCTACCCATATGATTTCTTCCAGTGTCCCTTAGGAAAAGAAAATGTACATTTTGACTGCTTTACCCCATAACATTATGGGTTAGCCGTTAGCAATTATATATTCCGTATATGAATTAAGATGGGCATTTTTAGCACTTTAAATTGTTCCTTTCTTCCAAGATTATTCCGACCAAGTGACCAACCAAAGAGTGGCTTGGCAATAATTGGGATATTGTGTGCCAAACGAACGGTGATCCATTCGGGAGTATCTGCCATTAATAACACGGAAAGAAATTTGTCCTTTAACCAATTTAACAAGTAGAAAGAAAATAATGAACTCACTTGACGGAAAGGTTTCAAGAATGGGTTGAGGGAATAGATTCCATCCATTATGTAGGTTGTGGCAACAAATACCCCTCCAGGCCGTAATACACGACTGATTTCAGCTACCTGTGAAATCAGTTTTAACAAAATACGTAGTATGGATCAGTACTAATATACAAAAGCCACATGAATAAAATAAGAACCAAAACTACATGACTAAAAGCGCCGACGAAGTATTTTACGTTTGTTTGACTTCTATTGAGTAATGGGTGCAAAGCACAAAGCTGCAAACACATTACATTTAACAATTATGTCTGAAATATAACATAACATGTTGCTTTCTCCTCTTAAGATATTTATGGAAAAAAACGTAGGCTACGTTTGGAACAGGGGAATAATGGGGATATGAGAAAATGTCATGGAAAAATGATTGTTTTTATTGTTATGATTTTAACATGGAAAAACTGAAGGAAAAACAAATTTAATTAACTATTAGTATTTTGCATATATGATATATTTCGATTTCTTAGTCTGCATTTATACAAACAGGGTACTAAGTGGCTCAATGTATAGTTACCCGTTGCATAATTTCCAATGAACAAAAGTAGTTTGAGAGAGAAGATGATCAGATAGGCCTACCGCAGACGATGGTGAAGGCCAACAATGCAAAGCAGCTCCAGCATGCACAGCATCCACGGTGCTTGATGCAAATGGAAGTCTGGATATGTCAGCTCTAACCAGTACTATGTTCCTAAAGTAAAACAGAACTCCATTAAACCAAAGATGCAACAATAGCTGTTATACAAACGAATTCAGGAAAGGAATTCCTACTCCTTAGGAAAGTTCTCCTCCTGGTTTATGAATTCATAACACTGCTGCAACATGGCCTCTGAAAAGTCCAATGCAACAACGAGAGAAAATCGCCCGCTCTTGGCAAATAGTCTTGAAAATAAGCCACTCCCACAGCTAGCATCAATGATATTTCCACCCATGACTGGTTCAAGATAATCTTGCATCAACTCAAACTGCAGTGGGGCATTATATTGCTATTAGCAGTGTTAGTTAGACATGTAAAGCGCAACTAGTGTATATTCATAATTATTGTGATGCTATTTTACTTTTAAGTTTCAAAGTCATAAGTTCATTGAAGAAAAATTTCTGACACGCAAGTATCATCTTTTTTTTCCTTCGTTATGGTTTCATATTTCCTTTTGTCTTCTTTGTAATGAGGGTAACCTAACACCCAATGCCAATTGTCAGTTTAAAAATGCTACAAGAACTGTGGGTGTTTCTCTGTGCTTATAAGCATTTTTTTAACTTATACCTCAGCTCTGTATGCTTATAAGCCAGAAAAAATAAGGCTTTAACTACTTGTTTTTAAGCCAGTTTTTTTGTTTCTCCGTTTAGACTAGATTATTTACAAAATTGTCTCTCACCATTTATGAATACTTACAAATGGTTTATTTACAAATGGAACAAGACTGAATACATGGAGTGTCGTTTCAGCGGCCGGGATACAGAATCAGAGGTGGAAGTCAGGATTGACTCTCACCTAGTACCTAAGGTAGACAAGTTTCGATATCTTGGCTCGGTAATCCAGGCTGATGGGGAGTTAGATGCAGATGTTGGACATCGTGTTGGAGTGGCTTGGGCCAAATGGCGGTTAGCTTTAGGGGTGTTGTGTGATTCGAAGATTTCACCTAGAATGAAAGGTAAGTTCTATCGATTCGTAGTCAGACCTGCTATGTTATATGGGGCAGAGTGTTGGGCGGTTAAGAAGACTCACGTGCGTCGTCTGCATGCGGCGGAGATGCGGATGTTACGATGGATGTGTGGGAAGACAAGGTTGGATAGGATTTCGAACGAAGTTATCCGACGTCAGGTAGGCATGGCACCGGTGGAAGATAAGTTGCGGGAAGCGAGGTTGAGATGGTTTGGCCATGTGAGACGGCGGGATGCTGACGACCCTGTACGGAGATGCGAGAGGATTACAGTTATTGGGGGAAGTAGGGGAAGGGGTAGACCTAGGAAGAATTGGAAGGAAGTGATTAGGCAGGATTTAGGACTTCTCGACCTGACTGAGGATATGGCCCTAGATAGGAACCTTTGGAAAACTAGGATTAGAGTAGCTAGATAGGAGCTTGGTGTTGTAGAGGTTGTTTTGTAGTGTGTTGTATTTGTTTGGAATCTTCTGCTATTGCTTGTACTTGTTGCTTGTACTTGGTGCTTTATCTGTGTTATACTGTGTTCCCTTCCATATTTTTGTGCAGGTGGAGCTGGGGGTCTCTTGGAAACGGCCTCCCTACTCCTGAGTAGGGGCAAGGTCTGCGTACACACACCCTCCCCAGACCCTACTGTTGTGGGATTCACCTGGGTTGTTGTTGTTGTTGTTGTTGGTTTATATATCATTTAAGTCATTTTACTTCCACGAAGAATATTTGACTTATAAGCAGCTTATAAATTAAAAACTGTTTGCATAGAGAAACACCCCCAGTATATCACATTGCCAATAGCTGCCATGAGACCTCTTTTTCTGGGCCAGGAAAACCACCCCATAGTGAAAAGCTTTGTCGCCAACCCCTTTCATAAAGAAATGATATAAAGGGAATCCTGTACCAACAAAGAATGAAGTTACATTATGGCATGGAATTAAAAGAAAAGGAATTAACATTCGTAATTTTTTTTAAAAAAAAGCAGATGAATTAACAGCATTAAACACCATCATAAATATATATATATATATATAGAAACAGATGAACAACAACAACAACAGAAACAGATGAAACAATGCCTAAAAATCTCAGTAGAAGCTGCCATTGTTTCCCCATAAGCCTTGCCACCACTAGAAATTGTTAAGTCAATGTGCGTGTCATTGCCATAGTATGTCTTTTGGCAGGTGCTGCACTCTAAAGTGGACTGAGAAAGAGAATACCTGCGGAAACAACTCATAAAATTAAGATATAATGAAATAAGTGTACTCGATATGATAATTTCTCATCCCAAATGATAAACTACAGATAATAAAAGAATACATATAAAAAATTGAGATAAAATTATAAATTTGTTTAAATCAAGACTGAAATAACTCACATGGATGGTTGTGGCTTATGATTCCAAATAAAGTGATTGTAGCAAATGGGGCATGCTAAAATATTGGTCTGTATGATCACCGTCTTGTCATCTATAAAACGATCCTAAGAGGGAGAACATTGTTTGAGCACAATAACAGATATGCTAATGTGGCAATAGTTTTTGCACAAATCCATATTTTGGCATTTGTTAGGCGTATTGTAGTCATGTAATTCTTGACTGAAATTTTCTGTTTCAAACAATACCAAAAACACAGTTATTTCGTAACACAAAAACATATTTCTTCCATTAAGTTTTAAATAATTGTTTATACATTTTAAGAAAGTTCACAAAAAAAGTTAATGTAAACACTACTCGAATACTTTAAAATGATGAGATACTCTAATACTCTAAGATGACATCCCTTCCATTCACAATTAACTACTCATTTTGTTTTTATGTGTCAACTATAACCAACAATATACGAAATATACAATTACTTGCGATATAAAATCTATACCATAATTCTAGTACTGAAAATAATTTTACTATACTCCCTCCAATCTCCATCCCAAAAGAAGTTTACACTTTTCTTTTCAGGATATCCCAAAATAAATCTTACACCTCCTTACTTTTCCTTTACGGATAGGTATGTGTCTCAAAACATTTTTCTCCGTTTCAAAAAAATTTCTTCCACATCTTTTACTTTTCGATACTATTCTTGTACTCTGAAGCCAAATTGTAAGCTTCATCTTGGGATGGATGGAGTATTATTTTTTCTATAAATGTGTATTTTAAGACATATTGGTTGCAAAAGTTTGAGACAGAAAATGAAACGGATCAATATTGATGAATGAAGTAGTTAATTTCATCTCTAAAGCCAAACTAAGGAGAAATGGGGTGTGTGCATAAAACTATAACCACTCGAATTTATATAATTATTCATGGCTAATTACATCATTCTCCAATGAAAAACTACACCAACTTCAAAGTATGTTAGAGATTACGATTTACGAGTATTAAGAAATTCAAAGCAGGAACACAAGTGGATTTCAATTAGGGATACTTATTAGCCCATATATCATTAAGAGCTGTAAGACCAGTATCAAAGGGTGCAGTGAGATTGAACAAGAAAATTGTCTGGAACTGATATGAATTCCAATTTCATTAAGGATTAGCATAAAATTAGAAATAAGAAGTAGAATGATTACAGGTTTGTGGTCCGGGAAGGCGGTCGCTGAAGTGAGATTTATTGCAGCGGAAAATCGAGTTGCTTTTGGGGAAAGCGGAGATGCCTTTCTGAAAAGGGGGCTAAATCTGGAGTTATAACAGAGTTGACGTGGCGGCCTGGGAGATGAGAAGAACCCCAACCCGGCGGTCGCCATTGCCGTCGTCCGTCCCGGAGCACGGCTGTCCAGTTTGATTGACGGAATGTTGGAGAGGTAATAATCGCATCTGGATGACGTGAGTCATACGTGATTCAACTGAAGCCATACATTCTTTTTTTTATATTAAAAAAAAATACACTACGTATTTTTTTTATAAACGGAGTGGTAATGTCAATTCTTTTTCTAGAAAATTTTTTATGTAGTTTTTTAAGGTAAAAATATTAAAATAATAGTAAAATATTGAAAATATGCTAAAATATGAATTCTATGTTTTTATTTTTCGAAATAGAAGTTAAAATGCATTTACAGTGTCAATCGTAATCATATACACTATCAAAAAGTATAGTGAAATATACTTGTACAATATTACATTATCACAGTGCAAACTCCTATTTAAGGAATAAAAACATAGAATTCTTATTTTGATATTTTTTAATATTTTACTCCTATTTTTGGTGATTTCTTATTTTTTAATATGTAATTTTTTTTATTTTACTCCAATTTTCACACACTTGTTCATTATAATTATATTACTCCGTGTTAATTTACGAACAACGTAGTATTTATTTTGAAACAACGTAGTATTCATTCTAAGCTCGTTCAATGTAGTGTTAATTCTCAAATGATATAGTAGTTTTCATTTTTAAAGAACATAGTATTAATTTTGAAATATTTTAAAATTTTAAATTTGTCATGATATAGGTGTACCTATAAAAATATCAAGTTAAAAGGCATATATAGGTGTGAACATCGTTAGGGCATTGGAACTACACTTAACGCCTAGGGCTCTTTCGATTTTTTAACGCCATGGGGGTGTTAAACACCGCCTCCCACGTGCGCTATTCGGGCATCATCTAGGTCGTGTCAAATGTTTAACGGGTGAACAAATGCAATCAGTCACGGGCCCCTCCTCCATTCCAACGGCTAAAATGTTGTTCTCTCTCCTTTCTAAAAAAATCTTCAAATTTTTCTCACACTTTTATCACGAACCCATTTGCTTCCTCCATTCCGTCGTCCAGTCTTGGGCAAAATGTATACGCGTGTGCATGGCTTTACCAAACATATGGGAATAATCAGATGTTTTTCGATACCTAAACTTCGGTGTGTCTAGAGGACCTAGAGTCGATTATGGAGACTCAATCGGAACCAAGTGCACCGGTGAATCTTGAGCCTTAGTTTTTTGAATGCAATTTTTTTAATGTTCTTTTTTATTGAATGTAATCTTTTTTATTTAATAAATTATTTTTGTTTAAATTCTATTAATTAATGAAATCTTATTTATTTAATTTTATAAAATGTGTTTTGAAAATTTTTAAAGGTTTGAAGCTTTCCAATTTGAGGATCAGGGCTTCAAAACTATTTTAAGTGAAACTATGATGTAACCCAAAAGAGAATTAAAGTTGATGTAGCTGAGAGAGAAAATTAATTTGAAGTCCTGATTTGAGTGCTATTAGAAAGCAGTCAAAGCACCCCATATTCTCTTTAGACTTTAGAGGACATAGCTTTTAAATGAATTAAATAAAAGCAAAACAAAAAGCCAAACAAAAGTTACATATTCCCTCCTCCCTACCCCCATCCCTCCCAAATAGAAGTAGTAAAAAATGAAGTTATTTTTTAACTTATAATATTTGAAGATTTAAAAAAAACACTTAAGCAATTTAAAGATACGTGCAACATACATAATATGGTTATGTTATTTTATCAAATGATCAATAAATCAAAACGTATAAATAAAAAAACCGTGAATTTAAAACAATAACTCCAACTTTTAAAGTAAATAATCCGGGCAAATTAATTGAGAGACAAAAATCCCACATGAGCAGAATAGCAATGAATGGCCAAATAACTTTATTAATTATAGTCTTCTTCTTCAATTCAATTTCAATCTATTTGGTACGGTTCAAAAGTTGCAGACTAAAAAAGCAACGTACAACACAACAGATTGCCATATTGAGATCGGCACTCTGCTTTGTAACCCCATTATTACTGTCCCCTTTCCATTCTCCATCAAACTCCCTTCATTTTTTATTTCATTTTTTTTAACAAAATGAGTGAAATTACAATACTACTCCCCAGCTCCCTATTGGAAGGAATTTGACAGTTTGAATTTGCAAAAATTTAAATAAAAAAATTGTTGAACAGATGTGAAAAATTGGTCGAAAAGTGTTGTTTGAAAACAAAAAGTGATATATGTGTGGTTTTAATTGTAATGCTAAAGAATACATATTGTTAGAATATACTATATACTCCGTACTAGTATAACATTTCATGGATTTATAAGTATAAGCTTGAGCTTTTAATTGAATTTGTTTCCTTGATATAGCATCAGAGTTTTAATGATCAAGAGGTCACGAGTTCAAAATCCAACGTCACCCAATTTTAACAAATTAGCTTCGCGTGCAAGGCTCAAGCAAATAATGTCTACACATGAAGAAATATATTAGAATATATAATTTTTCTTGGACCTATAATTATGTTTTAGATTTTGGTTGAATTGATTTCTTGACATCTATATTCACTTTTTCCGAAAATTATTGTCAAAGTTTTTCTTTTTCAGTCATTTTGATCTCAAGTTGTAAGCACACACATATTCCATCCGTATGTATATGTGTAACACAATGTATTTTTTTTTGCAAACCTAGCTCAAAATTAGACCTTGCAAACAAGGGTCGGCCTGCCCGGCCTGCCCTTTAAAATGGGCGGATATGGACAATCTTTAATACTCACATGGGCGGGCCGGCCCAAGCCCGAATTGTATTTGGGCGGATCTGGGAGTTACTTTTAGTCCATCAAAGTCAACATGCCCGCCCATATTCATTAAATACATTTACTTTATTATTAATTACCTAGACAACATAAATTTTAAAACTTTCTTTAATTCATATATAATACTCTGTAGTTCATATCACTCACTCCTCTCAAACAAAAATCAATAGTTTTTAATGAATTTGTATGATGAGTTTATTAATTATGTAACAATATTTCTATTATGTTTTCTATGTAAATGTGGCGAGTGGTAATTTTATTTTAAACATTTAAAAATGAGTTCAATATTTTCTTTTTGATTTTTTTGTGTAAAAAAGATTTTATTGATGTTTTATTCGGGCCAGGCCCCAAAAAGAAAGTTATTAAAAAAAACTTAAAGCACCTTATTACATTTATCAGGTTCTTACTAAGGTTTTTTCCTTTTAAATTGAATTTCAGAGTTAGATATTAAAAAAACTTAAAACACCAAAAAAAATAGGAAGGGGTTTAAAAAAGTAGTAAAAATTAAAAAATGGAAGTAATTTTTTTTCAACAAAAAAACAGACTAAAGTACTCCCTCCGTCCTAAATTTAACTTCCTAGTTTGACTTTTATAGTCAACCTTTTTAAATTTTGACTGTATATTACGAAAAAAATACATTGAATTTTCATATAAGTTTGAAACATGGTTTTGAAATATATAATTTTTATAAAATATATTTATATAAAAACTGAAATATTAGTGGTCAAAGTGTCGCATTGGAGACCGTAAAAAGTCTAATATGAATTTAATTTTAGGACATAAGAAGTAATTAAGTAGTATATAAGATTAATTTAAGATTAAAGGCCAAAAATATTTGCTTGAAGGGCACGTAGGAAGGGTGACTCAGGTATGTACACCACCACTTTATACCAACCAAATTCTGGTATTGCTGATACGATCAGTGTCAGTGTCCTTTTTGTTCCCTTTTTCCCTCTCCTATAAAACACCAACGGGCCCCACTCCCCCACCCCCCTCCATACCCCCATATTTTTTCACAAACCTCTCTTTTAAGACATATTACCTCCGTCCCATTGTCTTTGTTCACTTTTGACTTTTGGAAATGTTCATCTAAACACTTTGACTCATCAAATTCTCTCAATGTGTAAGCTTAAAAATAGTCATGTGTGATCTTGTTTGATTCGTCTTAACATATAGATTATTAATATATAATTTTTATAATTTTTTAATATACAAATTACAAGATAGAATGGATTAAAGAAGTGCATTGAATGGTGTGCCAAAAGGTAAGTAGACAAAGACAGTGGAACGGAGGGAGTAAATAGAAGTTCACAATGTAATTTGCAACACTCACCATATTGTCACATTGTAATTGTCACACCACCACCGCCACATGACACTGTCATCCGTCACCGCCGGCCACCCGAGAGCCGTTGCGAGTCATCGACGGTTGACTCATCATACTTACATATTAGCCTGCCATCATTTTCCATCACACTGCCAACATGTATATTTACACTATACTGTTATTATACTTTTATTTTGGTTTTAAAAGTCATTGGATTCTTATTTTGATATTTTCATAATTCTTACTCCTATCGAGATAAATTTCTTTTTTGTGAGCTGTGAAGAAAAAGTAAAGCACACAATTCAGGCAACACCAATCTTAATAAAAATTTCAAAGCAATAAGAGAAAAGAATTTCTCAATAAAGCCTTCAATTTATCTGTTTAAACAAAATAAATAAAATGGTATGGTGAAACGAAAACATGTTCCTATCAATTTGTGATTATCTCCTCCATTCACCTTCTTTTCTTATTTTCATTATTCACTTGATAAATCAATATAGTCATGTCATCTTTTATCTCGTAGATCGTTTGACGTAGTTTTTAATATGTAAAATTTTATTTTTTTAGTTCCACCACAATTCTAATTAAAGATATCTTTAATCAAATATCGTAAATCGAAACTAACCATTTAAATTAAGATTTATGGAGTATAAAAATTCCTGTCAAAGGAGTATAAAAACCCAAATACATCTTATGATCTTCATAAGAAGAAAAACAAAACTAACTACAACCAACTAAAAACAGACCTAGGGTTCCACAATTCCTCACACAATTTTATTCTCATTCCCTATTATAGGCGTTTACATTATTTTTGTCCATTTCAAAAATTTCATTTTCCACTTTAAAAAGATTTTGTGGCCTTAATTCTTACTTTCTACTTCTTAAAATTAACTTCTCATTTTGACTTTTATAATTAAACTTTTTAAACTTTGACTGATATTACGAAAAAATACATTGAATTTTCATAAAAATTTATTAGCAATATATAAATTTTGAAATATAGTTTTGAAATATATAATTTTTATAAAATATATTTATATAAAAATAAAAATATAGATGAGAAGTTAATTTTAATACAGAGAAAGTATTATTTTTATCTTTTATACCATTTACAAATTTTAATTTCATTTTATTAAATTTTCATTTACACTGATTGAAACATGAAATCTTTTCATAGGACATATAGAATTGAGTGTCCAAAACATTTGGAGCAAATTGGGATGGGCCAATGCCCATCAATGTAATTTGGCATATCCATTCTCCTATAGCTCTCCACCCATGAGTTTAAGGGCTAATTAATGCAACTTTTGGAGTTACAATTTACAAATCTCTCTCTCCTTTCTCTCTCTTCTCTCTGCATCTTTTTATTTTTGTTGTCTTCTTCCCCTTCTGCACTGCCATTTCTCTGCATACCCCTGTAGTAGTGCTGCTGCTGCTACTCCCACTAGTGGGCATATACCACACACCACAGCTTACAAAAAAGCTTCCCCTTTCCATTTCAATGGCGTGAGTGAGAACGACCCTTAACAACCCCTCCCTCTCCCCAAAATCCAACCAAATCTCTGTTCCACGCATACCCTTCGCCTCTCCTTTCTTGATTTTCTCTTCTTCTTTTTATTTGTCTGTGTGTATATTATTCGGGTAAGATCCTGATGTATGGTGTCAAGGGAAAGGGGAGTGTGATGATGAATAACAGCTTTGTCGACGGGAACAATGGCTATTACGTCAACAGTGATGACATCATGGCCGCTTTTGCGGCCGTGGGTCCGCCGAGATCAGTGCCCGGGGGCGGCGGGTTCGGCCGGCTCTGCGGAGGAGATGGGTCGTCTTCATCTATTTCCGGCGGCGGCCCATTCGATCGTATTCCCGGCGGCAGTCCGGCACTGAACGTTAACATTCCTCCTGGGCATTTGAGCTCTTCTCGGCGGCCCATCAATGGCGGCTACAATAATAACAGTGACAGTGATGAACGGAATCTGGGTGATGGTGGGTTGTCTGATATGCTTTACAGAATGCGTATTGGGGATTACGGGCGTCTGGGATCGAACGAATCTGGGGATAGATTAGATCATCACTTTCGGTTGATCAATGAAACAGTGGGAAGGGATTTGAACTGTAATAATAATATTAATAATATTAATCATTTTAACAGTGTTATTGGCGATTATGGAGGGACTGAATCCCTCTTATCGTCACCATCATCGCCGAACCACAGGTTTCTGTTAGGAAGGCGAGCATATGCTAACAATGTGGACATGAGAAGTTCTGGAGATCTTCAAAGTCCGTCCTCCATTAATGGAGGACAAAGCTTTGGGGAAGGCTTCTTTTTCTCTCCTGCAAGGTACAGCAGATTTGATGAAGATGCAGGAGGAGGTGGAGGTGAGGATGACCTGAGCCTCCCTTCTAGAAGCTTCCAGAAGATGAACCTTGGGTTGGGTCTGAACTATCCTTCTGCTCTTCCCATCATGAACAGGACAGGTGTTAATGTGGCTGCAGACAACATTGTTCTGATGAAACCCAGCCAGACATGGAGCTGTTCTTCCCCTGCTGGCAGTGACTATAAACAGCACCTCCAAAACTTCATCATTCCTCAAGAACATGAAGAAGCAGAAGAAGAAGCTCTGATGTACTACTTGAAGAATCTGAGAATGGAAGGTTTTAGAGGAGCACAGAGTGAAGAACAACCAAGAAGTTATGGCTATGGAGACATTCTGGGGAATTTCCAAGCAGATTACATATGCAACATTGCCAAGAACCAGCTGGGGTGCAGGATTTTGCAGAGGGCATTCGATCAAGGGAAGCCTCAAGACGTGCAGCTGATCTTTGAGGGGATCATCAACCGCATTGTGGAGTTCATGGTGGATCAGTTTGGGAACTATCTGGTGCAGAAGCTGCTCATGTTCTGCAGTGATGAGCAGAGGTTGCAGATTGTTCTAAGGGTCACCAGTGAACCAGGCTTGCTTGTCAAAATCTCACTTGACACTCATGGGTATGCAAACTGCTTCACCTCCCTTCAACTTCTTGATTTCACTTCCATAATCTTTAACTTTAGCGTTTTCTTAGAGTTAATTTGTACCATTCAAAATCGCGACGCAAGCCGATATAATGATGGTGTGGTTTTGGGTAATTCTCAGGACGCGCGCTGTGCAGAAGCTAGTTGAGACAGTAAAGACAAGCCAGCAGATAGCATTGGTTGTAGGGGCACTTGAACCAGGTTTTCTTGACCTTGCAACGGATCTCAACGGCAACCATGTCATCCAGCGTTGCTTGCATTCTTTTACCAAAGAACAAAATAGGGTAATGTGGTATACTCTCTGCATTCTCCTCAAATTATGGAGCCAACACATTTCATCCTATAATCAAGAAAACAAGAAAAAACAAGGATATGACCAGATTACCCTTGTAATAGATGGATGATAATTTGTGGGAAATGAACAGAAAGTGTCCTCTAGGCATTCAGAAGTGAGAAATAGTACATACATTTGAGAACAAATGCTGAGTGGGCTATGGACATAGAAAGATAGGGTGTCAAGGTTGAGTGGATATGGAAATGGACACTTATTTGTACCAATTAAGCAAATCAGATAAGCACTTGGAGTTTCTTCCTATAAAACCAATGTTATGATTGCTATATATTCTCTAATTCTTATATGCAAAACAAATCAAAGTGTGAAATCTTTTCTTCTGTTGGTTCAACAAAACCACCCTGCAGTTCATATTGAATGCTGCAGCAAGGCACTGCTTTGAAATCGCGACCCACCGCTACGGGTGCTGTGTTCTGAACAAATGCATTGGTTACGCGACCGGTAAGGCCAGGGACAAGCTGCTTTCTGTCATCTCACTCCATGCTTTCATCCTCTCCCAGGATGCCTTTGGGTAAGCAATGCAGCAAAACGACTTCGATTCTTTCTTTCATTCTTTCTGGTTCTCCAAGTACGTGTTGATCCAAATGTGCCAAGATGAAGATTTTGTTTGTGGCTTGATTGATGAAGGAACTATGTGATCCAGTACATGATAGAGCTGAAGAACCAGTGCACGGCGGGGCTGCTGCTGTCGCAGCTGGAAGGGCATTTCGTGCAGCTATCGAAGCAGAAGTTCAGCAGCCATGTGGTGGAGAAGTGCTTGAACTTCATGGAAGAGAGCCGCCCCATCATCATCCATGAACTCGTCTCTGTTCCTCGCTTTGAGCTCCTTCTTCAAGACCCTTTTGCCAACTATGTCATCCAATCTGCACTTGCTGTTGCCAAGGTCTTTTCCTTTAATCTTTTCCTTCTCATATGCATGCTTCTCACTCAATTTGGTCCCTCTAAATTTGATTCTTGATTGTTACGTTGAGTGAAATTAGTTCATGTCACTAAAATAGTGAATCATGTAACTCCCTCTATCTGAGTCCAATTTCGTTTGAGAGATTAACATGATTCACTTATTTTAATCATATGAACTGATTTGATTCATTGCAACTTGCAAGAAACAAATTGACTCATGGGTACGTTTTAGGAACGATTAGCTCAACTTTAAAATCGTAGATCACAAAAGTCAATTCTTCTCTTAGATGACTTTGGTTAAATTGATACCGACTGCAAGGTTAATATTTAAAAGTCAGTATCAAATAAATAATTTTCATAAAATTTTACAATAATATAATAGTCAATTCCCCATCCACCAAACTAGATTTTTATTACGAATACATTTTAGAACATTATATCACGCTGATTTTGAATTGTATAATCAGAATTAAATGTTTTAAAAGAATAAAAACATAAAGTTATTTTTTTTGGGTGAAGGAATGCACATATCTAAAACATTAATGTACCAAACAATTGAAAGAGTATTTTGACAATTTAAAATGGGACCCATTAAAATTCCATATTCCATAACTAATTTGTTTGATGTTATTTTTATTTTTTGTTTTTAATGGGTAAAATATGAATGGACAGGGATGCCTCCGTGCGCTGTTAGTTAACGCCGTGCGTCCTCACGTGGCCCTTTTGCGGAGCAACCCATTCTGCAAGAAAATATTGTCTCAGAACATCTTGAAAAAGAAATAGCCTAGTAATAATAATAATAATAATAAGATAAAATAATGTAATTAATAATTCATGTGGTGATCATCAAATGTTGTTGTTTAATTAGTAGTGACTTACATATATATATAGTCCATCTTTATGGACATAAGCAATTAAGTAGACATATTTATGTTTGGGCATCATACGATCAGATCTATGATCATGTCTCAAAGTTGTTGTGTGTAAAATCAAATTTTGGATAATATTATGTTTATGTTGAAGTTGGGGGTCTATACCCTTATTATTAAGTCTCCGTTTAATTTTCTTATTTGACTTTTTTCAAATGGCATATTTGGTACGTAATCTCTATCAATTCTTTCATATTTAAATGCATGTTGATCATATAATTATCTATTTTCAAATTGTATTTGTATTGTTTATTCCTCATGCACTACTCTCCAAGTAATTATATGGTTTTTTAGAAAAGTGTACAAAAAATATGTTTAAAAGACAAAACGACAACAATAGGCCAATGCCGCAAAGGCTCATGCCCTTTAATTTGCGAGACATGGAGGAGTCAGATGTACGGTGTCTGGCCCCAATGCTAAAAACACAAAGCGTTAAAAACTACCTTGACTAACTGTTGCTTAACAGTGAAAAGAGAAGAAATCGTTTAAAAACATATTTTGTTTTATTCCATAATACTTCTAAGCTAAAAGCCCACTGAAGATGATGAAAATACGTTTAAAAGTCTGACAATAAAAATTACTTTTCCGTCTCAAAATAAATTACTCCGTACTTATTTACTATTAATAGGATCAAACTTTATTCACTTTCTTTTCTTATTTTCATTAGTCATTTTGATAAAGTAATATAATCATGTCACCAATAATTTTGTATATTTTTTGATATAATTTTAAAATATGTAATTTTTATTTTTTATTCTACACCATTTTACATATAAAATGATTTAAAAATAACTTTAGCTAAACATCATAAATCAAAATAAGCGATTTAAATAAGGTCAAAAGCAGTATCAAAGAGTTTGTTTGATCAACGAAATCTTTTGTATGCATTTTGTACTCCCTCATTCCATTGATTATTTTACAAATGTATTGTTTATGGTCCAAGAAACCAACTCTTGGACTAAAGGCCAAATTTATGGTTAATAAGAAGCTAACTCAACCAAAGGCCAAATTCATGGTTAATGATCCAAGAATGATTTTGTCACATTATACCAAGTATCTTGCTAGGGTGCATTTTGGATGTTCTAGTGTAGATTTCTGTCCTAAGTCGGGCCCAATATATCTAGGCTGAATGTAATGTACGGAGTATTACTCTAGCACTATTTTCTGCATTTGTACTAGTGTTTGTTCATTTTACAATGAAAGATTGAATTTATTTTCTAATTCAATTAATTTATATGAAAATCGAAGTGTTATTGATTAAACTACATATTTAAAACCATGTCAAAAAATATTTTTGAGATTAGAGCTGATCTCTTGACTATATTATTTCATCAAATAAAGAGTCAAGATAATTAAAGTAAATGAAACTTGACTACATACTTCAAGAGATATTTTTGAAGGAGTAATAAACATGTAAAAAAGTTTTAGCATTAATTCACAGCTAATCGCCTTAGCCCACCATACTTCATATTCATAAGTACTCTTTTCTTTAAGTGTAAAACCTTCATTTTAGGGAACGTGTGAGGCATTACGTAGGCCTCGCTTTTATGTGAATCAAATTCCATTGAAGAGTGTTATTTTTTCTCAATCACATCATTCACACTATTTTAAGAATATTTACACTGAGATACGTTGTTTACAATCAAAAATATTAAATAGACAATTTTTTCCAGCAAGAATGGAATATATGTCCTGGTCGGATATAATTGGTGCACACGACTGTTGAACTAGAGCCTACCCCTATAATGTGTGGTCACAAGGCAATTGCACTACAGCACAATTCAAGGGCGGCAAAGGTGGAGATGAGGTGGGGGTTCAAGAGCGTTGTAAAATAAGAACAGTCAATTTTAGAAACGAAACATAATAAGTGTTCAAAAAAGGCAATGACGCCGGCAATGGCTCCAAATGCCAATGGCTTGAACTATTGCAAAGTCCTACTATCATATGAGGACTGATATCATAATGCAAGATGTCCGATTGGCTATGAACTCAAACCATAATACATAATGCATGAACTCAAATCATAATGCAGGATATAAGAACTCAATCATCATCTTAATTAGACCCTAAATGGTTGATGTTCTACGTGCTTCAGCCAATTTGGTTAAGAGTGGCACTAGTCGTAAAGATGTGCATTTATCCCCCGCCGTTTTCTAACCTAGCTAGGGGTGGGAGCAATCCGTGCCAGTCCACAATACTACCGATACCTATCACGAAACACTCTTATACAATATCATGCTCATGTTCAAACTGTGCCAAAAAACATTAACATGCATCAGTCAAAAAATATGAAAATAAAAGCATAATTATGTATAAAAAACACAACTTTATTGAATACATGTATTGATTTATTGGAAAAGATTATAAAGTAAAAAAAGAGTTCAAATTTTAAAATATTTTTTTTTTTCAATTCATACAATATCAGACTATTAATAACCTTAAAAAATAATGCTAATAATAGTGATATATATCAACAATATTAATGAAAGAATTTTAAAAATGAATCATAAAACACGAAATACTCCATATACGGTAAGATGAAGTAGAATTAATTATTTGAGATACTCCGTATATAGCCTTGAACGGTTTAATATCACGATACTCTCCTGTTTGATCTCAGCTCGGTTTTGGTTCATAATTAAAAAAATCAATCCCATTTAAAAACATTATAAACAGTTCGGTACCACCATCACGGTCTAGTATGGTATCATGCTAGTTCGGTTTTTTGCCCACCCTAAACCAGCCTACAATATGCTACTAAGCATTAAACTACTCAAAAATAAATTAAATTGTCAAGCCTCCCTATCTACCTATAAACAAAAAACACGCACAACACTCAATTAAGCTATTTCCCTACATTCTTGGGACACAATTTACTTCCAAAATAGGTTAAACTAGAATTGGTAAATGACATTACCAAAAAAACTACACATTGCTTCCACTACCCAAAAGTTGACAAGTAGTTTCACCAAATAATATTTACTTGAGACTATCTAAAAACTCCTGAAGCTTATGTGAACTTCATCTGAGGAATAAGGGAGCAAGAAATATACATACACAAAGGAAATAGATTTTCGAGGCAGGACCGGGCAGCAACTTATCTACCATTTCATCAACACCCACAAAAAAAGTTGCAGCATCAGGTTACTGCAAATCTAGGCATCAATGGGGGTGTAAAGAGCATTTCGGCAACAAACCAACCCACCAACAATCATCATTCTACAGACACACCACAGCTACTATCACATCACAGCCACAGCCGCGAACTCACGCTGTAACATTGTACAACTACTATTAGGTTCATCAATGGGCCCCACCACATTTAAGATTATAAAACCAACACTCAATGAACTGTACCATCCAAGGTAAAGATCATGGTGGGTCATGTCTAATACTTATCCCAATTAGATTTCAGTAAGTTGCAAGTTTTCTAAGCTTACCAATCATGCCAGGTGGGTAATTTTGGTCTGTGGTGGTTTGCCAGTTCACCAGCATCAAAAACATGCTAACCAACAGCAAAGTAAAAAACAGCATCTACAAGCTGCGGCTACTTCATCATTCCAATCAGCCACATCACCTCTTCTCGTACACAAACGACTGAAGACCAGCACAAGTTTATTAATGAGCATTTTCAGAAATAAAAACCCACCTCCCTCCCCATCAAAACCACCTCATCAGTTCTTGCAAAAAAAATTACGTAGTAAATAAAAGAGCAGATTTACTTAAAACTCCAATGCACAGCTGAAAGTTAAGACAGACCAACACTAGTCCCGACTCCACACAAACGATATAAAGTAATGGAACGCATCAAATACTACAAAAGAGTTGAAACCTTCAAAATAAGTATCTGCAAATAAATTCTAGATAGCACAAAGCTGATGGTGTAATGATGGTACAGGCATGCCCACATCAACGGCAAGGAAACTCTGAAAGAACCAAGCTGGGTATCCATCAAATAACCATTTTTATCCTCATTCCTGCAAAACGAGTCATAAGAAATTTCAAACATTTAGTGCAGGTAAGTTTATGTTGCTGTAATGTTCTGAAATGACCCAAGTCATAAGAATTTTCAAACATTTTGTTGTTGATTAAGTTTATGTTGTTGTGAAATTCTGAAATGGAAGTGTATGCTAACAATCAATTCATGACCTAAGTCACAAACTACTTCAATAGGCAGGGAAACTACTTCTTTTACCAAACAGATCCATGTATGAACACCAAAATGGATATCTGCAACTTACATCCACATCATAACGCGGAGATTGACTGCGTGAATCAGCGCAACGTCCCCGTGGTGACAAACTTCTTGGACTAAGAGAACGCTCAATGTGATTCCCGGCATTTGGGCTTCCATTCTTGGGAGAGGCCCTGGGAGATAGGCTCTTCCTTGGACTATAGATACGTCTAGCAGGAGAGGGACTTCCACATTACACAAAAACGGATGAGAGAACTATTCAACAAAAGAGATGAGCCAAATGCACAAGGAGATGAGAGAATATCATAGAGACAGTTTAATACCTTCCATAAGAACGACTTCGACTGCGCCTATCATCATCATATCTATCTCTTCCACGATATTTATGATTATCCGGACTAGCACTGCGGCTTCTGCTTCTATAAGAGTCTCTTTCCCTTCCACGGTATCGATCACGCTCATATCTTCCTCTACTCCTGCTCCTGCTTCTCCTCCTAGACTCCCGTCCACTGTAATTATCTCTATACCTGAGATACCAAAACACTGATATGATTTGACCTACACTAGAGGGAAAGCGGGAACTTCATTTTTTTGGCTAGTGAAGTTATAAAAAATAGAGGCATGGAAGGGGAAACTACATTTCAGAAAACCCTGATTAGATAACAATTTCATGTGGTATACATTGTAACTAAAAATGTTTATTTTAGGTGAGAAAAAAAGATACAAGTCTTAAGTAAAGCGTTAAAACTTTTCTTATAGAACAGCATAATCATTTTCTCAGCGAACAACTCAAATAAAGAGCAACAGATTGCCTTGGTTTAGGACTGAAGCTCCTTGATCTTGACCCAGTCTTGAACACAGGCTCCTCAATTCTTCCTTTGTG